CTAGCGCGTCAACACAAAAGTCAAGTGGATTGAATATGTTTCCATGTGTATGTGTATGAGAATTTGTGTGTGAGAGTACAGTGCATATGCTTTCAAACACACACACACACACGATGATTCATTGGCCATTGGTATGTGTTGAAGCGGAAAGACACATGTTTTTTTTCCTTCATTTCAACGAAGCTGAATCGACAATATGTTTAGCCAACAATACACAGGCGTACGAGAACTGACGAGGCGAGCGTGTGCTCATAGGAAAAAAAACCGTTTTGTTACGTGTTTTCCTCTTTTCACATTGAATTCGGATTAAGCGATTCACATTCACACACACACATTCTCTTATACATAGAAACACAGCTAAAACGAAGCACGTACAGTATGTTTAAAGTGCTAAAGCAACAAAAGTATATTAAAAAAAACTCGATAAAATAGTTGTATGTATACAAATTCACATCATCATAACATTCTTGTGAGCATCGTTGCCAAGTCGAAACATGTGTTTTGTCGTTGTTGTGTTGCTGTTGATGGTTTTGTTGTTTTCTCATCGGTTTTCAAGCCAAAACGAAATATCGACAATGGAGAGAGTAACGCATTCGAGCACTTCGCATGTACATGTAAAAAGAAATGCATTTTTTTCTTTCGTTCGTTCGTGTGGTTTTATTCATGCGTGTATAGCAAACTACGTATCATTTTTTTTCATACTCTTATTCTCTATCTATCTCTCTGTCTTTCCCATTCTCTTAATCGTCTCTTTTGTGGTTAGTATGTTTCGCATGGTCTATATTTATTTATGGTTCGATTGAAACGCTTCTTGGTAACTAGACACGAAAACTTCTTCTTCTCCTTTCTATTGATAAACAAAAGTGAGGGAGCTATTGCGTGCACGTATGTATTCAAGCACGTCGTCGACTGTTGAAAAGAACACGGTATTAAACAAAACCAAAAATGTTCTTGGATAACATACATATGTAAATATGTATATAAAAACGATGATGATTGAAACTGAATTCTCAATGATTGTTGAAAGCAAAATTTGCCAATTCAGATGGTGACCGAATACTTTGTATAGAAAAAGAATGCAAACAAAATTTCGTTCATTGTTTACGTCGTCGTGTTTTTTTATTTTTCTTTTCTTTTCTTTTACATGCTAAAAAATAAAGAATACGCCGTGCGAACGCTCAAAATTCGGACAATTTTTTTCTTTCGTTATTTTTATTGTTTAAATTAATGCAAGGAAACCATTGCTTTTGGATTATGTCTTCGGGCCGGAATTCGTTCGTTCATTTTATTTGCGTGCACTGAATGTGGAATGTAGTTGTTTGTCCATTGTTTGTCAATTTCTGGAAAACCTGAAAATTTTTCATTTATTCTTTTCTGTTGCCACGGTTTTTGTTTCTTTGTCGTATTTCCGTGTTTTTTTTTTCGTCTTCGTTCATTCGTGTATGGCTCTTTCATGTTGCTGGTCACGAAAAATCAACCAACCACACTCACAATTCATCGACATTGTTATCGATATGCGAGTCGTGTTCCGAACAAATGGATTGGACTGAAATGCGACTACCGTTTTCATTAACAAAATACATGCGATTTTCCGTTTTATATATCTTTTTCCTCCCTCCCTCCTCTCTCTCTCTTTCTTTCTCTCTATCGTGTGTTCTCTTTTTTCAAATATTTATTTTCATTTGGTTCGATGTTCGTGTTGCAGATGTACTTTTATACGTTTTGTACGTGCGCGCCATTCTATTACGTGTTGTTTCATTGCACTTTGTATGTTGTATTTTTTTCTAGTCGTTAGTCGTCGACACCGTCCTTTTTCTCCGGCTTACGTGCGATCACTTTTCGCTTCATTCGTCTATACTATGTCTCTATCCTTCATGCTATAGTTCTTTATCACCTTCATTATCGAATTCAATACACATATGCGTGGTAGCAAAAGAGTGCGTGCATGGATTTTCAAAATAGCATATATATTCGTTCCACCATCGTTCCGAACCAAAAATACTAAAATTGATCCATTGCAAATTCGAATGTTGACAAAATACCGCTCGTAAAGCGATATTATTTTGATATGAAACAAAGTTGATAGAATCGAAACGAGAATCATGTGCTGATTTTTCGTTGATATTGTGCAATTTATTCGTTGCTTAATGTGTCGAGAGACAAAAATCATAATTTTTGCCAGAGCTGATCGGAAGACTAACCAACAGCCAGAATATAACGAATTAGATTGTAATTTTAAGCGCACAAATCAAATCCGACGACCAGCAAAGACACTTCATTTTCATTATATGCGAGTGTGTAACCAAAGTTAACGAATATCCACAGCAATAGAGACAAGCTCAACCTCGACTACGTGCACTGTGTATGAGTGTCGCAAAGAATAATAATGAGTACATGACATCGCATCGAACTACAAATGCATTTGGCACATAGAAAAATGTGTGTATGTACGAAGTCAATCGTCATCGTCATTGCCGTCATTAAAATCTAAAAAACATCAGTCCTTATGCTGACTGAGGCGATCACGTTGTATTGCCGCTCATCGTTGTCGTAACTTTTTCGAATTGAGGCTTTTAAATATGCTAAAGCCGTCGTTCGTTTTATTCGTGTCGTTTTTCTCCTTTTCTTACTCGTTTCATTCTTGATTACTGGCTCAGTCTCAACATTGTGTGCTTTATTCATTGTATGTTGCAAATTGAGCTATGTTTTTTTATCACTCGCACTCGGTTTATTTTCAATTTTTCGCTGTCTTCCTCTTGCCTGTTCGTTGTTGCTTTTTTTGTTTTTGTTTTTATTTTTATTTCGATACTCGACAAAATAAAACATGCTAGCTATCCGCTCAAATTTCTCTTTTTCTTTTCTAGTACGCCAATTAAATAGCAACGACTACACTAATGCTACAATTTCTGTTGGATTTTTCGTTGTTGTTCCTCTCTCCTGTCTCTGTCTCTCGCTGTGCCATTCTTATGAAGTGCCTTAAAACACTTTTTGTCCTTTGGTTTTTTCTTCTTTTTTTTTCAAGTTGTGCTCAGAGATTGTCATGGTGCATATATATATGTATATGTTAAAATCATGTGTGGTTTTTGTTCTGCCTTGGTTTGTACATTTTTAAGATTGGCAGAGACAAAAATAGTTGATGCGCGCGAGCGATCGCTCTTATGCAGATGAAGGCGTTTAAGAACACGGGCGACAACGATTTTACAGCGACGAAATCAATGGGTGACAAAATATACCACGTACAAATCTGTGTGTACGTGTTTATTATTCACGTTTGTGATATCGTCGTCGTTGCTTCTTTTTTTGTCATCGAGTTTACTATATAAATGAATGTATTTTCATTTGCTTGTTTTCGTGTGTTGTATTGTTTGTGAGGTCGAATTTTATTTTCTTTCATTATACATTCGTCTCGTTGACTTCAATTTCATGTCGGTGTGTGTAATGCATTTACAGTGAAATCGAATCCACACGGATCACACACTCCATTGTATTCGCCGAATGAGTTAAGAATTAAAAAAGAAAGCAAAAGAATGAAAAGCGAAGAGCTCATACGAAAGCAAACATACACCATCACAACAACAACAACAACACACCGAATGGCAATATTAAATGAATAATAATAATAGTAAGAAACACGTAATTCTTCATATGAGCATTTTCCCAAATAAATACGCTTTGCATAAAACGGTCAGATTGAGCGTATACACATGAACATACACACACAGGCGCGCGCGCTTGAGCTAGAAAAAGAGCAAAATCGTCGACCGACAGCACATCACACGCGAACAGCGAGAGCATACTACGACCGGAGCGCAGTAATCGAAGCAGACCTTGAAATAAATCTTATATGCGTATATATCTGCGTATTTCGAGTCAACGAAGCTATGAAGTCACGATCAAAACATTTATCACTTTTTTTCCTTCTTTCATAACACCAACACTCACGCATGTTCATTCTCATTTCTTTTAACGTTTCTTTTTATATATATTTATATATAAAAATATATTCCTTTTTGCCTATATCTCCCTAACCATCATTTTACGTATTCTATTGCTCGCAACGTCGTTTCGCATGCTGCTTGCATTGGCCTTCTGTTCACTCTTTACACGTTTTGTTATACTTTTTATACAATTTCTACATACTTTCTCGTTACCAATCATGCTATGAGAGTTTGTTGTGTGCTACCATGAGACTGCTATTTGCCCTATTGTCAATTATTTTACCGTGCGCTCCAATATGCATTGCAAGAATTTTTATTTTCTTCTACAGCCATTTATTGATTGAGCACAACTTATACTTTTATAAGTAATTACTTGTCTTCGAAGCATTTTTTGTAAATCATCCACATTCCACATTGTAATGTTTCAGTTTGCTTCAATTGTGGAATTTTTCATTTCTTCAATTATACAATTGACAATTCGCCGTTTATTTATCGAGTTCATTCTTTTAATAGACATTCATCTAGTTTTCTTTATTTGCATCTCGTTTAATTGATCATTTCGATTCCGATTCATGAGATCACACAATGCATCACATCATCAATTGATGAACAACCATATTAATTAAATTTTATTTGTAAATGCAATGCATTAAATTGTAGTCATCATCATTCTTATAAAACTTTCTTGGTAAAATTCAAAGCAACAGTTCTTTGTTCTTTTCCAATAGGGATGCCATTGGATGCTCTATGGAAAATTGAAACTAAAAAAAGTATTTTGTGAAGCGGTGCTATCTTGAGCTGAACGATTGTTTTTAATGAAATATATTGACAAATGTTCAACTCTACCCATTTAATGACATATTTAATGAGATTTTTTCTACCTGAATGCATTAAAAGATACCTTTTATTCTTTAAATTACCCGCTCTAAAAAGCTCATTGGGCTTATGACAGTTATTAGAAGAATTGGCAATTCTTAACACATGTGTTAAACTGTCATTTGCAGTGCTGCCAATCAACTAATGACGAACAAATGAGTATGTAAGCATTTGTATTGTCTCCGAATTTGACAGACGAATCTAAAGTTTTGGCTTGTCAACATCGAAGAATTTCAGGATTTTTTTTTGTTGATTTATTTCGAGAATATTTTTTGAAAATATAACAACGACTTATTTAACTTAAACAGTGAAAGTGCATAAAACACACAAAAGTGTGCTAGAGAAATGAGTAGTTTGTTTGCATCGACACCCACTTCACAAGAGACCGCATCATTGTTTATCAATGAAAAAATCGCCAGCGCTCGAACAAAGGTACATTGAACACATACACATTTTTATTTATTCATTTATATTTTTTTTGTCAATTTGCTGATGATTTAATTTATTCAATTCGTAATTTAGATCATCGATTGGTTGAATGAATGTGGCGAAGGTGGAAAAGCACCAGAACGATGCGAAGCAATTAAAAAAATACAAGAACTTATTGTCCATTCAGACGAAGAATTGTTAGAAGAATTTTTAGAGAATATTCTCGCCTATAGCCATGATACGGTGCAAGAAGTGCGACGATGTGTTGTTGGATTCATCGAAGAAATATCGTAAGTATCAAAGAGGACTTTTCTGCCATTTTTTTTTTATTTTTCCATTCATACGTACGTTTAAAATTAATCGAAATGTCTCATTTGTCCCCATAGCAAAACACAAATTAGTTTTGTATCACGAACAATTACTGTGTTGGCTGGTTTGCTGCGCGACCAATCGCCGCAAGTGATAAAACGTGTCATACAAGGATTTGCCGCTGTTTATAAGAATTTTCTACAATGGATATGCACATTGGGTGACATATCAGAGGAGACAGATCAAGCATGGAATACAATTTGCATTATGAAAGCCGAAATTGTTGACATGATTGATCACAACAATGATGGTGTTCGAACCAATGCTATTAAATTTCTTGAAGGTGTTGTTATTTTGCAAACGTATGCTGATGAAGATAGCATGAAACGAGAGAATGACTTTTCACTCGACAACATCCCATTGACAATGAAAATCGTTCGGCGGCGTAAGCTCGAAGAAGAAGCCTTTAGCATTTTTGAAGCGCTGTTGAAGTTTCATGCCGCATCACATATTTCGAGTGTAAATTTGATCGCATGTACGGGAACATTGTGTACGGTTGCCAAATTGCGTCCGACATTTTTGTCGGCCGTGATTACTGCACTTAAAAACCTTCATTCCAATCTGCCGCCAACATTGACGGACTCACAAATGATATCGGTGCGAAAACACCTGAAAATGCAATTATTGAACATACTCAAACAACCGTCCGCTTTCGTGATGCAATCGACAATTACAAATATTTTAGTTGATTTGGGTGCCACTAATTCAGAGATTCAAAAGGCAATTCCGAAATTGGATAAAAAAGAGCAGGCGCGACGGGCAAAGCGTGCGGCTGAAAATGCAGACGAAAGTGCAGCTAAGCGTATTCGAGTGGAAAAAACTGAGCGACCCGTACGGCGTGAAATGGAAATTGATCAATTTGAGGTGGAAGAGCAAAAGCGTCGTTCAAATAAAGCAAACGAAGCATTTTTAATGGAACATTTAACATCCAAAGAAATAGTTGCCGATTTAGTTATGGAATCGATGCAAAATTTACCCAATGAAATACCAGCACATTTCTTACGCAATTATGTGGCTGATCCAAGCCTAACAATTCCGCAACGTACACAGAAAATTGCAAAGCAATTGTCGGAATTAATGACAGCCGAACGATTGGGACCGGGTGCTGTTGAAATCTCAAAGGATCCACCGATGCGTATTAAAAGCAGTCCAGAAGAAGAGCGTCGCATTTTGATGGGCATAAAAAAAGATCCAATTCGAAGCGATTCGGCAATGTCAATGGACGATGATTTTGAAGATGGTTCCGCACTGGCCGAACAACGAAAAGAAGAAGCAACAAAAAAACTACGCGAAACAATTGAACGTGCGAAAACTGAACATGCAATTATTCCAAGATTAAAGCAAAAAGCAAAATCCTTGAAATTGGAAGAAATTACGAAACAATTGCCACGCGCTAAAAAAGAATCACTTCTGGTGCAATCAGTGGGTCGCATATTGAAAGCGGAGAAACGTTGTTTGGCCGGTGGTGTAACGAATCAGCGTAAACGAATTTTAACCATTTTGGCGGCAACCTTTACGGCAGATGTGCGTGATACCATTTTGAATTACATCAAAGAAGATCTTTCGAATCGCTTCGATTTGGCTGAGATGTGGTTATTTGAAGAGTTTAGTTTGTTTCAAGGATTCACACGACATTCATATATAAAGAGTGAAAATAAACCAGATTATGCGTACAATAAGTTGCTTGGTGACATTATTTCTACCATTTTGGCAACCGACATTGAGAAATTCGATCAGGAGAGATTCATTCGACGCATTTATATGAGCGCACCGATCATATCAGAAGATGCATTCACAACACTAATCGGTAGCTGTGAGGTGGTCAGTTTATCAAGATGTGCAATGGAAATTGTACGAGATTTAGCCGTATCGCGGCCTCCGAAACGCCTACGTTTTCTAAATGTATTACTTCGATTTTCCATGCATGAAAATTACGATTTGCGTGAGAAGGCGCAACAAAATCTAATCACCATTTATGCACAGCATCAATTATGTCGCGATAAAATCGAAGAATTTGCTTTGCGTTGGTTGAACTATTTGCAAAAAGAAACACCACCGAATGAAATATTCAACAATGACTATGGCCGAACTGAAACGGCCATTAAATGGACTGAGTCATTATCGAAAATATGCTTGTCATTATTTCTAAATCTGTTACAAAATAACGATGGATTGCTGACGAATTTGTGCGACATTTATGTGAAAACATCGTCAGATATGAAACGAACAATACTGCGATCGATTGACGTTACCATTAAAAAAATGGGCGCGGAAAATGCACAAATTTTAAAGATGATAGAAGACGGTGTCAAAGGAACTGAAACTCTAATCACTCGAATTATTTATATTCTCACCGAACGCATGGCAATCAGCCCAGATTTGGTTCGACGTGTACGTGATCTCTATCAAAATAAAGTATCTGACGTTCGCCTATTGATCCCAATAGTCACTGGTTTGACCAAACAAGAAGTATTAACAATGCTACCAAAAGTGCTGCGTTTGAATCCAGTCGTTGTGAAGGAGGTATTTAATCGTTTATTGGCCATTGGTCCGGAATTTGAGCACGTCAAAAATCTACCATTGATGCCGAGTGAATTGCTTGTGGCCTTGCATACATTGGATCCAGCAAAAGTTGAGCTAAAATTAGCCGTAAAAGCCACATCATTGTGCTTGGATCGTAAAGAGCGCTACACTCAAGATGTATTGGCTATTGTTTTGAATCAACTCGTTGATATTACACCTTTGCCCACACTTTTAATGCGAACGATTCTTCAATCACTTCAACTCTATCCAAAACTCAGCAATTTTGTCAGTAATTTACTGCAACGCTTGATACCCAAACAAGTTTGGAAGCAAAAGGTCGTTTGGGAAGGATTTTTAAAATGTTGTCAACGATTAAAACCAGCCAGTTTTCCGGTGATGTTATCGCTGCCACCAGCTCAACTCAAAGATGCACTGAACACATGCCCAGAATTACGGCAACCACTGCTTGAGCATGCAAATGAGGTTATCGAAAAACAAACGATACCCGTTTCCAAAATGATTATGGACGTTTTACATGGCAAATCAGAGGATGTTTTTATTACGGTAAGCATTTATTTACAAAGACAAAATTACAAATTGTTGATTTTATTTCTTATGTTGACGAACATTTCCACATTTATTATGTTTTCCATATCTCATGTTTTCTCCGTTTTTATTTCTATATAGGAAGTACCAGAAAATCTTGGAATGATCCCATTAGAAAATATCAAGAAAGAACGAGACGATGCAAAAAGTTTGGACACGGCACAGCAACCGTTACCACCTGGAGAGTAGTTTATATGTCTTTTGAATGAAAAAAAAAAGTTACTTCAAAATGATGTTTTTGTTTTCAACCATTTACATGTTTTTACATCATAAACAAAATTCGTTAGATTTTAATTATGGAAAAGAAACAAACTTTAATAAAATAGAAATTGAAATTGAACTATAGTGTATTTTGCTTTTGTTGGAATTTCCATGGTGGAACAAAAATAAAGAAACCGGCAAACATTCTCCCGCTTTACAGTATTTAATTGGCTTGACAGAACAAATGTCAAATGGACAAGTATTTATTTCGATCTCTCACCACGAGAGGCGTTGACTGTACCGCAGATGCTAAAGCTGAAGAAAAAACATGAATTATTTTTGCAGTCAAACACACCACATATTTTCAGTCTGTCAAAAGACTAATCGCAGCAAGAATGATGTCGAGAATTAGGAAAAATCCAACAAAATAACCGAATCTAATCGAATTGTTAATAACTTAAAATTTAGTTTCTCTTTATTTTATTTTGAATAAATTATAAAACAAAAATGTGGGCAGAAGCAAGGTAAGACGATGAAAATAGTAATAATTAAAACAATGTTTTTTTACGTGTCTGGTATCGTTCTTCTGCATCATCTAGAAAACAGGAGCGTAAGATACGAGGTATCATGGTTGATTATCGCAAGCGGGCAGAGCGTCGTCAAGATTTTTATGAAAAAATCGTGAGTGAAATTAATGCGATTAATGTGAAAATCCATCCAAAAATAACCTTATCAATTTTCTGTTTGTTAACAAAACGTCTGGTGGTGACGTTTCTCGCTTTTATTATTCTAGAAAGCCGATCCGACACAATTCATGCAAATTCATGGACGTCGGTGTAAAATTCATCTTGATCCGATGGTGGCCGCAGCTGCAGAAAATCCAGCAATCATGCAAGTGATATTTCGAACAATTGAATATATTTCTTTCCACGCTTTTGTTTTTCATTCTCTTCCACGGTCAATGAAATGTGTACGTGTGATTTTAAACGTTATTTTGTATATTAATCTGTAGGATGCCTTGGCAGGGACACGCCGACAATTTGATCGATCGATTTGATGTGCGCGCACATTTGGACTACATTCCGCCTGTGACAAAAACAACAGACCAACCAGAGCTAAATCAAGAGGAGCGCCAATGCAATTATGAAGGTTTTCGAATTTTGGCCCAAAATGATTTTCTCGGCATTAGTGAAGAGAAGTTCTTGCATCAATTGCATCTTGAAGAGCAATTTGGTGTGAACGCCCAACAATTGGAAATCGAAAAAGTAAAAAAGAAAAACACCAGCTCAAGTGGTGGTGGCGCTGCAATTGGTTATACATACGAAGATGACTCTTATTCGGCTGGTGATCAAATTAGTAAATTTAATTCGGCAAATATAATTGCAAGTGCTGCCGGTGGCAATGCAGCCCAAGAAGAAGACTCCGATTCAGATATTGATGTTGATGTTCCAATCGATATTAATAAAATCGACACACAACAGGCACACGATCTGAATACCTGCGGCCGAAATTATGGAATGCAGAGCAATGATTTTTATTCATTTCTCACTAAAGATGCCGATGAAGCTGAGTCACTGAAGCTGGCAAGAGAAGAGGAACAAGAGAAAATTATGCTTTGTGGCAGGAAAAGTCGGCGTGAACGTCGAGCACAAAGAGAAAAACGTTTTGCAGGTCGTACAATTAGCCCACCAAGCTATGCAGCGAAAGAAGAACCAACGAAACCTTTGACCGATGATAAAAATGACTCCGATTCACGGTCACCATCACCGGAAAATTCAGGAAAAGTAAGGACTTTTTGCATCATTGGCGATGTTCTTTGTAATAAATTAATTTTTTTTGTAGATAACATACATCACATCATTCGGCGGTGAAGACGAGCTCGGATCACACTCAAAAATATCAATCAATTTTAATAGAACGGCAAAGGGAACACTGGGCAGTGAATTAATTGCAAATCGATCGGCAAATGCAGCCAAAATATCCGGCGAAGCTGTATCATATGCTGATAAGGTTAAACAAAATTTAGAAAAACTTAAACATTTAAATGATCAACCGAAATCACCACGAAAACCACTTGCATATCAACGACGTGGACACACTAAAAGTCGCAGCCGATCACGTTCACATTCAAAGAAATCATATCACAGAAATTATAGAAGACTTTCGCCACGTTCAAGATACCGACGCTCACGCTCGCGATCAACATCAAGAAGGTACGCATTTATTTTAATCAATGAAGCTAACTTTTTTGTCAACAAATAACTGATGAGAGTTAATTTTAGGCGTGGAACACATCGTCGCAGTCGATCAAGAGATCGTCATCGACATTATTCAACTTCTTCATCATCCTCATCGTCTTCGTCGACAAGGTGAGTTTTGTTTAATGTTTTGCCGTTGAAGACATCTGTCTAATTTTTCATGTGTTTTAAATATTTCAGACGCAACAAAAGACGTCGTTCGCTATCAACGAGCTCATCATCAAGCTCGTCTAGTTCTCGAAGTAGCAGCAGCTCATCAAGATCGTCTATACCACGAAGACAAGTACGATCTAAATCTATTGAACGGAATAAGAAAGATGTGAAATCTCAATGTGAGTTTATCTCTACAGAATTAATAATTTTTATTTTTATTTATCATCAATTTTATGTTTCAAACAACATTTTCGTGTTTATTTAATTTAAAAAAAAAACAGCTAAAGAACGAGAAAAGTCCGTTCGAACGACAGAAAAATTAGCACCTCCAAATCAAAAGACAACAACAATAATTGCACCTATTAATCCGACACCAACCGAAATACCTCCACTTCCGCCAGCCGAATCTGCATCGCCTATAATTCGGGAGCAACCAAAATTGCCTGAAGTACAAGTTCCGATAAAAAAGTATTACGGTCGAAAGCGTGACAATCAAAGTTCGTCTGATGAAGATGACCTCAGTTACGAAGAAGCCGAATCGACCGTTAAATCAAAGTAAGAAGTCGTCAGCACAACATCGCTAGAAATAAGTAATATAATTTTTCACAAATTTAAAATTCTGTATCCTTTTTTTTTAGGTCCGATACAACCACATCATCCACGGTTAAAAATATTAATCTTGGTAAAGCAGCAACCATCCATACCAAAGTCAGTAAGAATACTTCATCATTTTTCCCAACGCCAATTACTGAACTGAAAAAAAAGATTTTGTTTTGGTCGCACAAGAAAAAAAAACATAGACATACACACAAGACAAAAAAAGAGATTGTTTATTGCTTGTGCACAATTTATCGGTTGTTCATTGACGTAGTTTTTGATTCATGACAAATCCATACGGAAAAATAAAACGATGTGACATTCATACCATAGTTGAATTGATGAATTGAAATAGTGTGAGGACCAATGTGGTAACCGTAGTAAAAAAAACTAACCCGTTTCTAGAACGCATATTCCCATTGCATGTGAACCAAACGATTTGTTTTCGATGAAAATGGAAAAAGTTTAATGACAGTCTAAAAGAGAAATTGTTACTGTCCAATGAAGTCATAATTTATTCATGAATGGTTGTTGTTGTTTAGTGAAAAGTGTTTGAATTTGCATCTGTTCATTTTCCACTTTGTTGCATTATCATGATTATTTTTTTGTTGAATGGAATTAAATTAACAAATGTTTTACACTTTTCAGGATTCATCAGCGTCTGGTGGATCGAAAACCTTAAATCCGCGTGATCGATTGAAGAAGAAAATGCAAATTCTATTGAACAAGCAATGTATGTACCGAAGAAATAGATTCCATTGTTGAACCATAGTCATTTAAATGTTCCCTTTTTATAATAGACAAAGCTGATAAAATGGCTGAAATTGAGAAAAACGAGAGACAAATTCAGCAACAGCAAGAGCGCGATGATGAAATGCGGGAAATGGCACTTCGACTCCGACGAAGGTAAGATATTGTTATTAGTTACCAAAATTCGTCTAAAACTAATCAAACACATTTATTGAAATAGACAACGTGAATTGCGTCACAAATACGGTTCACCAGGAGGAGACAGTGATAAAAGCGATGGTTCAGCTTTGAGTAATCGTAGCTCAGTTTCCCGTGGCAATCGTGGTAATTCGCGTCAAAGAACAAAATATCGGTCGCCAAGTCATTCGAATCGCTCTCGCTCCAGATCGCATGATTCACGAAGAAAAGAACGTGCCAAATATTCTTCGCATAGAAGACATAGTCGTGACAGTTCTAGACATCGACGTAGCCGTGAACGTAGCAAAAATCGTTCAACCTCAAGAGACTATCGACGCAGAAGCAATTCAAACGAACGTCGACGAAACAACGACCGACCAAGAAAATTAGTTGATTATTGAAAAACTGAACATTTCAACCCGAGTTTTTATTTCTTTCGGATTGTTCCATACTAAATTGTACCCGAATATCAAACCAATGTTTTCCAATTGTATCATGAAACGATTTTAAATAAACATTCTATACAAAAAAAAATATTTTTTTCGTTAAATCATTTCACATTGAATTTGAAGCATTGTTCAAAATATTTTGATATGCTCATAAGTACGGGGTGTACTTACTAAATATTGACTCACATTACTGTTCATTAGCACTGTTTCTTAAAATAGCATGAAGCAGATCCAAAGCATACTTTCGATATTGGTATTTACTTATTGATTTTACAGCGCTTTATCCCGGGTGTAAAAAATTCACCCAAATTGTTGTTTTCAGCGGAAAAAAACATTGAAGAAATCGAAGAGAAATGATAGTCGTATGAGCAATTTAAAAAACTCATCACATCACAAACTATCGAAAATGGATGGGTACTGGTGTCGTTTGACGTTGTATCACTTTTCACTAATTCACCGATTAGTGATATTAGATTGATCATTGAACGACGTTGGCCAGAAATACAACAATATACAGACATTCCGAAACATTTCTTCCTAGATATGTTTGACTTGGTCACTTGTAATTGTTATTTTACATATAATAACATAACATACAAGCAAATATTTGGAACACCCATGGGAAGTCCGATCAGCTGTGATGCCACATGTATTTTAATGGATGAGATTCTAACATTAGCAAAAGAAAAGGTGAAGAGTACTTTGGGCTTCGATATTAAAGTCATGAGAAAATACGTCGACGATATTTGTTTGATTGTACCAGTTGATTTAGTTGAACCAATTTTGAATATTTTCAATGGAGCTAATGAACATATACAATTCACCATGGAAATGGAACACAATAATACTTTACCATTTCTCGATATGCTTGTTGAAAGACACCAAGATGGTACAATTACTACACAATGGTATCAAAAACCAATTTCCAGTGGGAGAATTTTGAACTATAGATCATTTCACCCCTTAAAAACAAAGATTAGCACTGCTTATGGAGTAATTGATCGTGTGGTACGCTTAACAAGTAATGCGGGGGTGTACAATGTTAAAAACACCATTGATGATATTCTGTCTAAAAACGATTTTCCGAAAAGTTTAATCAATCGTCTATGTGCGCGTTATAATACAAGAACCCGTAATGATATTTCAAATAATGCACCAATTAATAGTACATCTAACATGGTAACAGCATCGCAAATGATTTTTGCCTCTACCAGTTATATACAAGGAGTGTCTGAACGTATTAGAACAATTATATCAAGATATGTAAACATAAAAATGGCCTTCAATACAACAACAACTGTATCGGCGATTTTTACCAGACTTAAAGACAAAACACCCATCCATAAACACAATGATGTAATATATGCTATTCCATGCAAAAATTGTAATTCAAATTACATTGGTAATACGGGGCAGTTACTGATTGAGAGGGAAAAACAACATGAAAGATCAGAACGCAATAAAGAGATTGGGAAAAGCGCACTAGTTAAACATTCAGTTGAAAATGACCATTCCTTTGATTACAAAAACACAAAAATTTTGACTCATTGCAGTCACAAAGAAAAAAGATATTTAATTGAAGAAATGTACATAAAAACAACTGAAAACTGTGTAAATCTGAGAAGCATTGAATCAAGAAATATTAGTAACATCTATAATAATTTTTTCTATAAATTCAAAAATAGAATCTGAAGCGTGGTCCATATTCATAATATTTTCTTATGTTTTGCACTGTGGACTATGTTTAAAATGACACTTTGACATTTACCATTCAATGAGTTTTCAGATTGGCATTGTTTACATGTTTGATATAACACATTCGGATACAATCGTTTTTGTGAATTGTGGAATTTAAATAATTAAATGTTTGACACGCATTCTGGATATGAACATCTTTGTTCTAAAATATATTGACACAAAAACTATCTGCATTTGTTTTGGTAATTTAATCAGTATAAATAGAAATGAAAATATGCCATTAAACCAATTGTTTGTAACTTATATTAGAAAATTAAATTGTTTATTTTAGCCCTGATGAAGATTTGAAGAATAAATCGAAACGTTGGCGTTATACATGAAGCACTAAATAGTTTTGCGTATTTATTTAGACTGAAAGGTCCAGTAGAAAACAATTTCAATTTAAAAAACGTTTTCCAGTGCTTCTTGGTTTTATTTTGGTCCGAGGCGGGAAGCTATAATTGTCGGTAGCACATTTTACTACAAAAAAATTGATTATCTTGGGTTTATAAAAAGAGGCCCAGTCAGCAGTTGCCAATAACCGTGATTTAATTTCGAATAAAACATAAATTTTTCGCTGAAATTTTTTTCCATAAGGGATACATATGATCTGGTACACACATGCAGAGAGAAAGAGAGAGAGAGAGAACTGCCAGTGAATCTATTTGAAATGATTACAAAGCTTCATTCGCATGTTCAATCGCAGTTAAGTAATAAATGACATCATAAATTCCTTTAATCGACTTCATTCCTTTTCCCATTTGTACAACGATAACAAAAAAAGTATTACTCAACAGTATCATGTGAATCAAATAGATTTCAAAAGAAAATCCATTTTTAAGTCCATAGTCAAATCATGTGCAACATTCTGATACAATCGATTTCATAGAACTGTGTTATCTGTCTGATTTGATGTGCATGGGAATTGCTTCACCAAATTTAGATATGCATTTTCAGATTGTGTATTGGAATTTGGTCTTAAACCAATTGAGTTCGTTAATTTATTGGTTCAAATAAATTTTCTATATGCATAAAGTTTGAACAAATCCATGAAATTGCATGCAATGCTAACCGAAATATGGAGAATGTCATACATTCTGATACGCTATTGATTGACATCAAAAAGTTCGTAGTATTTAAATGTATTATTGTTTTTTTGTTGAGAGAGAAAAATAAAGAGTCTTACGGGAGTAAGACGAACTTTTCCGCACGGTGGTACTTGCGTATTTTATTAAGAAAGTTCAAAATATCATTTGTTCGATTTTTCAAGCCATTCAGCGGCGTAAAGTTCGAGACCAAAAAATATGTTTCAACTTTGGCATCGAAATATTCTTTAATTTAATAGAAGAAGTAGCCAAGAAAAGATTTTTCACACTTTCATGATGAACCCATTTGTACGACATTTGAAAGTGTTCTATTTTCTAACAAAACACTATAAAAAATATGTCTGACGTTAATTTTGCCATAAAAATTATTTTTGAAACACTTTTCATAACTAAAGTCACAAAAATTTTGGATTTTTGTATGGGAGCCATGTCTGTATGCTACCTTAATGGCGTGAAACTTTGCACAGGTTATTTTTTTTACAAATAACATTCGGAGGGTTTGGAGAAATGTCAACTAAAATTAAGAGTACCTCCCATACAAAATATTCGTTTTTGAGCCAATTGAAAATTTTGTATGGGAGGTACCCCTAATTTTAATTGAAATCTCTTCAAATTTTCAGAATGTTATATTTTTGTGTAAAAAATAGTCTGTGCAAAGTTTCACGTCATTAAGGTAGCATACAGGCATGGCTCCCATACAAAAATCCAAATTTTTTGTGATTTTTTCAAGGAAACTGTATTAAAAATTGATTGTATCTCAAAACTAACGTCGGATTCGGTTTTCTCGTGCCAAAAAACCCCCCAATACATATTTTTGAGTGTTTAAGTCTACATTAAGTATGACTTTTGGACGAAAATTGGACTCTTTTTCATAGGTATCACTCCAGGCATGGAATTTTTTTCCATCAACCAAAGTCGCTCAAAATCTGATGATTTCTATTCCTGGGGACCCCCAATCATCCCGTGAAGTCAGATTTCAAATAACTTTTCTGGGTGGTGAGAAAATCGATGGACAAATTTTGCGTACGGCGGACAACGTACGACGTACGACGTACGACGTACGACGTACGACGTACGACGTGGAAGCGACCCACAACAACCATGCTCAAAACGGCCTGATTCGGGTTCTCTGACCTCAGAAACGTCCAGAAAACATGTTTTTGAGGTTTCGTAAATTTTGACCTATTGCAATACTTTCCCCTTTCACACTAGGTGTGTGCGGAAAAGTAAAAAGAATGCTTTGTTTGAACAGGGCGTTTCATACTTCATTCAGTATGGACTGAAAACAGACTTTTGCATGCAAACTTAAGTGGTTGCTTAACTTCCTGCAAAATGTGATTTTTTTTCTGCGACTGACAAACAGATAAAATGAAATCAAACCGGAATGTTATTGCATGAAAGTCGTTTTTTTGGTAATGTTTGAGTGAAACGTTCTAAAAATAGGCAAAGAAACGCGAATAACGTGTTTAAACAGAATGATTTTGCATGTTCTTTGTCATCGTATCTTTTGGAAAGGGGTGCATATAAAATATATATCTATCTGCGGCATAAACACGTTCAATTTGAAACATATTTCGTTACAACCATTTATTCCACCTACATTTTATGCGAAAGCAATTTTCGATTCATTTCCCTTCTCATGTTGTTCCTTTGTGTCGCAATCAAATTTTAAGTATATTTTTTTTGTTTTCGTTGTGATTTCGATGAACCTTGTTTTTTATTTGAGCAACGAGGCCAATCGACTCATTCGATCGAAGTGATTTGAACCGTGAACGTGTACGCAATGGTATCGGTGAATAGTTTTTCCGAAATTGAAAATTTGATTCAACAAAATCAGCAAAGTCTGTGTCTATAAAGATTCAATAATTTTTTAAGTGAATTCTGTAATTACGACCATTTTTTCCTCTTTTTTGTCTGAATGCAGAGATAAAATTTCTAAATGACATCAATGCTCAGTTAAACGAACGATATGAAATCAAATCGAAATATAATGCGCTTAAAACGGAACTGAAGGAAATGGAAGATCTTGAGTCAACGCGCAAAGTAAAATTCAATAAGGATCGAAAGAAAAATCTCATTCAAATGGAGCACATTGGGCAGGACTTATGCGAGGAGCATTCTAAAGTCATACATCAAATCGAGGTACAACATCAAATCGAAAATTCAACGTTTTTACTTTTTTTTTTCAAATATTAAAAATCGTGCAATTAACCCTTTTAGTCAATTCGATAGGAAAAAAAAGATAAATCTATTTGCTTTCTTTATACGATTCAATAACATGCAGCATATAAATTGGCACTTAAGTCATGCACACCCGCATGAGATTACCACCCCCATCGAACTGCCAATTATACCACCGAAAATTTGTCATGCTGATGGTATTTTATCAGGACGCGGCCATGGACACATTCACGGAAAATTGCATTGTTCAAATAAACCATCGGCAAACATGGTAAATGGAATTGTTGATTGAATTAATTATGTAAATTCTGCAAACGATTTCTTTTCTCTCCTATAATAAAAAGGGCTATCTTCAAATAAGCGCCGAACGTTTGATCAAAACAATTTCCGAGTTACGACATAAAATATGCCAAGCAAGACAAAACTTGGAGCATGAAACCGAGGTAATTAATTTTTTACAATAAATAAAATGCTGTTTGCAGTTGGTTGTGAATAACTACCTACATACGAAAAAAAACAACAAACAAACAAGATTTTTCACATAAAAAATGTTGTTTTATGTGTGTATATTTTCAGCGAAAACGAGCTGCCGAGAAAAATTTAACGGAGCTTCGTAAACAAGTATCGAAACAAAAGAAGCTAATGTCAATGAGACGATGTGTGCCGTTGCCAGCTATCACAACCGTTCGAAAATGTGTTAAATAAATAGTCAAATATATGTTATATAGTTCATTTTGTTGCTGGTTCCATTGACGTCGATTTCGGTGTAAGATGTGAACAAAAAAAAAATATGTGACGAACAACGTAAGAGTGCATTGGCTCAATAAATGTTACATTTTTTGTGAATATTGAAACATTTTTACATTTAGCACAAAATGAATCTATTCATATGAAACGAAAAAAACTTTGCTCTTTTTTTTAACTTTTTTTCTCTATCTATACAATCTATAGTCGATTTAAATATGTATAACAGCACCGAAATATTTCAATATTTTACACCGATTGAATTGAATTTCCGGTGGCATATGATCATAGATATTAAGAATAAATACCAAAAAATTTCATAGATATGAAAAGGGCAACGAACTTATCTGAAATAGAGTGTATCTTTAACAATTATTTTCGGTACAATTGTGGCTGCTTTATATTTAAAAAAAATATATATTTGAAATTTGAGCACATTTTTCAATGTAACGAAACCAAAAAAATGTTCAATATACGTGAAAACATCTGTTTCAACAAATTCATATGGAAAATGTGATCACATAAATCGGTATGACTATATTAAAGCAATTATATTACGCTATTGTCTACTCGAATTTCAAATATTTCGGGTATTTGAACGAGTTTCTCTTGGTCAGGAATGTAGGTAGAGCACAATGTAAGTGGCAATCAAAAATAAGTGAAAAGAGATATATATATTTTAAGTATTTCTGTTGTTGTTTCAAATTCGTGTCACTTTGAACGAAGCGCAATTTAATATTCCAGAGGCTCAAGCGAACAAAGACCAAAGGCAAATCACTAAAAACGATATAGAAAATAGAAAGCAAACAAAATGAAGAAAATAAAACCTTAAATGCACAAAATTGAATGATAACCGAAAAGTATGCAGTGTGTACACTGTACAGTGATAACTACGGCATATTTGTATTTATTAAATAGACGCACAAATCAACTCATCCAGGCTTATTCTTCGTGTTTGTCATAATGTTTACGTGTTATTGAGAGACTGTATCTCTAGTGAATGAATTTAGTGTACGAAATCATTATAAATTAAAGAAAATTGCAGAATTAAGTCACACATTTGAGTAGGTTAAAGCCGGAATAACAGATTTCAGTTAATCTAAATTTTGGCTTGCCCATTCTACAGAGGTTTACTGTGGCCAATCATCTTGTTAGGAAAGCGAGAACGACCAGAGACATATATTGTACACATACGCACACAACTAGCTCATAAAAGTGGTGAATACATTTTTTCCTGCTTTAAAAATATTTCATATCTCGTAGGTAGAGAGTGTTGTCAGTCATGTATAAAGGTTATATTAACATCTCTCTTTCTGACAAAAACAAAACACGTATCGGACCACGCACACATATCGGCGCTCACACACTTATCAGTTCGATTCCATACTGTTGCAAAATACACAAACACATTTTTTCCCGTTTTTCTATAATTTTTCTGTCGGCGTTTTTTTTTTGTATACATTCAATAAATTGATAAAATAGAATTAAAATATTGATACGGTCGTTTTCTCTCTCCAATCTTGCATTCGGTCGCTACGGACATGAGCATTTATTAATTTCGGTCTGGAATCATTGTGAGCGTTTAGTTTAGATCAGATTATCGTCCGTTGAACAACGAACGTGGTGATCGTGGAGTAGCCAACATTTTTGGTCTTTCTTTTTTTACGCATAATTTTTGTGATTTTTTTTATCGTCACCAAAAAACGGTGTAAAATTAAAAATAATTATAATTTTTTTTTAAATAATTGTTTATTACATAAATTCAAAAACTGAAGACTGAAAATGGCAACAAATGAAAAACAACAACCACAAGTAAGTTTAAAATAAATATATATTATTTTTTATTCGAGCAAATTTTTCGTCCCAAATTTAACAAAACAATGTCCAGTAGCTATTTATATCGGATACATTTTTTGGAGTGAAAAATAACGATGATTTATTTTTGCATGAATGTGACAATTGTGAAGGCCAAGTTCAAACTACGTAAAAACGTTACAACGTAGAACGCTCAATATTATTTCAATAAGATTCATCTCAAATTCGTCGTAATCGATTCGAAATGAGCGATGCAACGAACGTACGTAAACCAGAAATAGAATGTGAGAGAGCCTTTTTTCATTTCATCACATTAAAGGGCGTAAAAGAGAGGCGAACCAAAATGACACACACAAACAGTGTGCGATTCACAGCGTTATTCTGTCTCGCTTTTATACATTTCACACCAAAAATGTATTTGTTTTTTTTTTTTTCTTTTGTTCACTTCTCTTCTCAAATATGATTCTTGCGCCATCGAAATACGTGCAAGAATAAACGATATCGTACTAATGCTCCGAACAGCAGTTTTTCCGTGTACACTGTTCCGATGCTGTTCATTTGGAGAAATTGAGCATCTTCAAAACTGAAAAAAGTTAGTTAGTCGTCTGCTCTTGAAGTAGCCGTGCACAATACTCTCCTTTCATTTCTGCATTTAAACCATTTTGCATTTAACGTTTTTTTTTCGTCATCGTCCGCATCCAATTTCACTTTTTAAATATAGATTAAAGAGCAATTTTGTGTTTTCGAATTTTATTACTGTATATATAATTTGTGATATTTGTATAATTTTGATGAAAGTTTAAAAGCTACGCAAAACTAAAAAAAAATCATCATTTAAATTCTTGCATTTAAAGTATTTGTCGCCAACTGAATTAAATTCTCATAAAATTCGAAGGAAAAAAATGAAGCAATCCTATGATATTGCTAAGAAGGTAATAAAAAAAAGTATCGTTGTCATTGATATTGATATTGATAATTGAGGTGATAATTAATTTAGTAAATTGAATTAAATATTTGCAAAACAGAACGTGTTTCAAGTGGTCAATTGAATTGGTTACGTGAACAACGTGATAAATTTTCACATTTTATGATTTTTTAGATCGGCTTCGAATTATTTTAATACTGTTTAAATGTATTTCCGAATTGAAAATTCATGTGTTGGTTGTCGCCACACACCAGTTTATATTATTCTTTTTGATGACAATTTTTGTTTTTATTTCAATCTCTCTTTCTATTCTTTTTGCACGAACTGCTTAATACATTCCGAAAATGCTGTACACAAATGTACGATTCTTTGCCGAGATGAAAAATAAATAAATATTTTGTAACTTTATCATGGTTATTCGGCAACCGAGGCGAGATTAAATATACAAACACAAAAAAAAACACACAGCAAGAAAAAGAATTACGAATTGAAACTGAAATAGTAATCAACATAAAATATCATATAGCATATAGCATACAAGTATTGTGGTCTGGTAGGAAAAATTTTTATTTGCGCCAATCACTGAGCGCGCTGAGAGAGGTACGTCAACTCAACATTTGTTTTTTTTTTTCGCCGTCACTCGTTTGTTGGCATGCGAATCGTTCTCAACTCAGAATATACCGCATATACACAGTAGCAAACACCAAACAAGACGGCTCCGCTCCGCTCAAGTAATGAGTGTGAGAGAAAAAAAAATATGAGGCGCGACAAAATCGTAAATTCATCATTGGCGCAAACGAAGATCGCAAGTGTATTGAAGAATGAATTTATTGCATTTTTTTTTTAAATTGAGTAAAAATTTTTGATCACACAACCGCCAACAATCAATGAATATGCACGTCAATTGAAACATATTTTTTTCATATGTGTTTTGATTTAATTCGATGCAGTTGCCGAGGACTATAGATATACTTTCATGTTACCCTTTTTGTCATAGGAAAGATAGAGAGAAAAAAAGTAATGCGTTCGTTGTCTTCAACCAATGCTAAAAATAGCGGCGTCTTCAATGTATATAACGAGAGCAATTGAAGCTGCACGATCATAATATTTTGGTCTTCGTTGATTTTTTTGCGCACGAAATGCAAATAGATTTTCTCTAGCCGTCTTGCCATCAATATCTCGTTTCGAGTACTTCAAAGTAATTCAGAAAAAGTAGCGAAACTATCCGCAAAAAAATTGAGCGCTGAAGAACTTCTCTTTTTTCACTGCCAAACATATTTTGAACTTTAAAATCAGCGCAAAGACTTGATAAGTTTATCATTGGTTTTTTTCAGAAAAAGATTCAATTCTAATCGATTATACATTGTGCAAATAAATTGAGTAATATGAAAGGTGTCCGTTGAATAATTGAAAAAAAGGGAAAAATCGTGCATTATTTGTTCGTTAATTCAAGCGTTATTGACCGAGATAAAGAGAATTTATGTAACGCTCTCGTGCAACATCTTCGGCTGTTTACGTGCCATCAATTGATTTGGTTTTTTTTACCTTTAAAAAGTACACTGGTTTTGTTTTTACCAAAGTTCTAAAATAACTACCGAAATAAAATGGATACGGAAAAAATGACACGAGCGATGGCTCGATGGTGGCAGGTACTAAAATTAATATTGCATTTGACCTTTACCTTAAGCAGTTTGTGTTATTTCTGTCACATCTGCTAATCTTAACATAATCTCCTTTCTCCGAATACCACTTTTGCATTATGAGGTCAAACAATTGAACGACATTCTGAATGTCATGACACATTACACTCATTCACGATCAATAGCTGCAAAGCGAGAAAGAAACACTGTCAACTGCATTTCCATCATCACGTTTTGTTCCAATCGAATCAAATACAATCAATGAAAATAAATCATCGCAATGCACCACCGACGATAAATTAATTGTCAGGCTGCTTTTCAATCAAATCAATGTATGTCAACATTTACTTTGTACAAAATGCAATTGATGTCGTATTTTTTTCTCTTATTTGTTGTGTCAATGGCAAATATTGATTTTTAATTTTCGTATTGTTGTGTGTGTTTTTTCCTGCTCGATCGATTGAATAATGAAGGCGACAAGATAAGAATTTGCCAATATTTCTTGTTGACGCAATATAATTAAATGATAAACGCGTTAATTCTTCTACATGAGCATTCACTGAACATTCATCAATTGTTTAATCAATTGCAAAAGAAAGAAAGAAATTCGGGGTATCCGCATTTGTCAGCCACTTCACTGCAATTTAATGACAATCAATTCTATTCAATGAGTGAGTGAGAAGGAAAGAATTATGAATGGATCGATAAGTTATAAGTGCCAGTTTTTTTTTTCATGATATTGACGCAAATTCCTATGTTGTTAAAATGATAAAATCACAAAAGAAGTAATAAGAATGCCGGAACCTTCACGCTTTACACACAGGACAGTTCAACTATGCATCGCCGATATTTTTTTTTGGCTTATCAACGTAATCAATTTCCATGAACAATAATACATTTCATAAGCACTCGTAAGCGCTCAGCGTAAATAATATTAAATATGTAATACAAATTGTTCAATAACAAATGAAAAACGTTTTGCTCTGCTGACTGACTGAAAGGTATTTTATGGCCAAAAATTACAAAATAATGAAGAACCAGAAAAAATATTGACCGAATGAACGAAATTATTGACGAAAATTCAATTAAAAATAGATGAAAACATTACGATTGGCTTTCAACAAGCAAGTCGCAATTGTTGTTGTGGTTTTTTTCGTTTGGCGGTATTTACACCTCGTGACAACCGCATATTTCGCTTGTTTTGATGTTTTAGTTTTGACTGCACGATCTTAACGAGACTCTACTGCTAATAATCCGTATAAATAATAATATACATCTCATTCGTAGTAGCAAATCGCAAATAGTGGTGCAAAATCAACGTAATTTGAATTCAATGTCCTTTTTATGTGTAGAGTTTAAATAGACGACGTTTTTGCTTTGTTTCTTTTTTTTTGCAATGAACTTCAATGCCCCAATGACGCACACATATTTGCGCTGATTTTTTTCTTTCCTTATCCTTATTTATAGTCTTTCGAAAACGTAAATACTAATCTGATTGCAATCGGAATGTTTTGAGTGAAAAGAGATAGAGAAAAAGATAGATAGAGAGAGAGAGAGAGAGAGAGAGAGAGAGAGAGAGGGAATAAAGAAAAAGAAAAATTTAATTATATCATATTTTCTTACGACATTTTGCAACAGTTAAATAATATGTATAAATTTATTTTCAGACTGTCAACGATCGTAATGATCCTGATGCACGACCGATGCTTTATGATCCCTTACAAGGGAGCAAAACTACAAAAGGCAGTCAATATCTTGCAACGATCATTGGTATGAATCTTATTCCTATCATAGCTTTAATTTTGAACTTTAAACGAACCTACCGTCTAGATCTAACGTCATTAACAGTTTCTTGACTGCTTAAAAGGTCATTGATGTCATACATCAAATATTCATTATCAATAAACGAGAAAAAAAAAGTTTCCACCCGAAGAAAAAAATCGTTGCGCAACCTTTTTTCTCGTTATTATTAGTAGATTAAAGTGTAAATCAAGAAAAAAGTGAAATATAGAACAAACAAACTGACGTTAATTTGAATTTTTTTTCATCCGTTTTGCATTAGTTTGCATGAGTGCTGCAGCAGCTGGAACAGGACTGTCATGGAGCAATTGCTTGGATCAATTGAAAAAAAATGGTACAAATAGTTCAGAAATGCAAGGAGCAGAGATCCAATCAACAGGAATCCAATTAACAGAAGAGCAAGCAACAATGGTTGCTTCATGTTTGGCTATCGGAGCGATTATAGGCGCAATACCGTCTGGCATATTGGCAGATATGAAGGGACGAAAAACGGCAGCCATTCTTATCACCTTCCCATACATAATCAGTTTTCTTCTCATTGTATTCGCTCAAAATGTATGGTGGCTTTATATATCCCGTATACTTATTGGTGAGTTTCAATTGAAAAATATTCAAAACAAACGTTCTCGTCTGTCTCGAATGAATTTATTAAGTAAATAACAACGTGGTCACCTTGATTTAAACTCAATGATATTGACGAAATATATTTGTTGTTGAAAAGCGAAATTCGTCACAGTTTCTATGTGGGGGACTCTTTTTTGTCGTCAAACAATTTATCAAGCTAGTAATAAAAAAAATGCAATGTTTAATCTTGCACAATAATAAGCTATCAGTATTAATTAGAAGAAACAGCATGTTTATGCTTTGTAATTCATCTGCCAAAATATATACTAGGCTCAACATGTTTAATCTAAAGTATATGTGCGCGTTCTGTGTATACATAAAAATAATGAATATTGTACGATGCTGATGATATGTATACATTTTTCTTATCATTTTAGGTATTGCAATTGGTGGTTCATGTGTTGTATGCCCTCTTTACATTAGTGAATATGCCGAATCATCGATTCGTGGCACGCTTGGCACGTGCTTTCAACTTTTCCTGACGATTGGTATTTTGTTTGTCTTCACTGTCGGAGCATACTCCACTTATATAACATTGAGTTGGTTATGTTTGATACCACCAATTTTAAATTTAATCGGATTATTCTTTTTGCCGGAAAGTCCCATTTGGCTATTGAAAAAAGTAAGTTTATTTACAAAAAATTTGCCATTATCAAATGTTGATATAATTTTAAATTTGTGTGATTTTTCTTGATCCATTAATAAAAAAGCATGAGGAAACAAAGGCAGCAACTGCAATAAAATGGTTCTGGGGACGCCATTGTAATGCAAACACCGCAATTCAAGCTATAAAAAATGAATTGGAAGCGGCTGGAAGTGGAAGTGGTTCGATTCGAGATTTGTTTGCCGTAAGAGCCAATCGTCGAGGCTTTTTAATTTGTGTCAGTTTGATGTTTTTCCAACAATTTTCGGGTATCAATGCTGTGATTTTCTTTGCCACAAAAATTTTCAAAGATGCCGGTTCAACAATGGAGGCAAGCACATGTTCAATCATTGTTGGTGTAGTGCAAGTGCTTATGACATTCGCGTCGGCAGCCCTCGTAGAACGAGCCGGTCGAAAGATTCTTCTTTTATTCAGCAGTACAGTAATGGCCTTATGTTTAGCTACATTGGGATACTATTTCTTTTTGAAAGATAGCGGCCATAATGTTTCAAACATTGGCATCATTCCATTATTAAGTTTGGTGATATTCATTATTTGCTTCAGGTAATAATCTCTTGATCTTGATGATTCATTGAAGATAAATTAAAACATTTTTTCTTTCTTTAAAACTTATGTAGTTTGGGCTATGGTCCGATTCCATGGATGATGATGGGTGAGATGATGGCAGCCGACATAAAAGGTATTGCAACATCGTTGACCGTCGAATTCAATTGGATCTCTGTGTTTATCATTACAAGCTCATTCGAACCGTTGAAGACCGCTTTGGGACCAGCATATACATTCTGGATATTTGGTGTGATTATGGCTATTGGATCTGTCTATGGTTTAATGGTCTTATTTGAAACAAAAGGCAAAAGCAGCACCGAAATTCAAATGATTTTGGCCGGCCGAAAATAAGGAAAATGTATTTTTTTTTGTGTCTTTATTTTATATGACTATTATTATTAAATCAATTCAAACTTCTGCTGTGCATGTTTGCGGATAAAAGAGATTATATGCGCTGAAATTGTAAAACAAAATTAGATTCTAGACAATAATTTTTAGGACACTTATAAAAAAAACAATCTTGTTAGGAAGACAATCATTTTGCCTGTAGGGAATGTAAAACATTTAGAGATCGTATTTTTGTATATATTAATATTTACACTTAGTATTTAACTAAAATGAAACGAAAGAGATACTTTTAGATTGTGAACAAATTATTTTATCCAAAAATGATCGTATTACAAATGCATATGTTTTTTTAGAGAAAGTAAATAAAAATTGTTAGGTTATTTTAACGTGGTGTGTGTGTTTTTTCTCAATTTTTTTTTTCTTTTTTTTTATTTCACATGCAAATTTAAAATGCTGACAAGTGAATAAAAGCAAATCTTAGTGGATTCTACATCGGTTGCAAACCAAAATTGAAAAAAGCTATACTTGACAGAAAAAAAAAACTTATATTGAAAAATCTCTTTGTTTTTATCATTTGTTTGTTGTTATTTTTGTTTTAAATCACATTTTAGTTTCAAAGCTCAAAGCCGTGCGGTAGATAGAGATTCATGTTAGATTTCATCATCATCTAGGCCATCGTCTTCGCGAGGAAAATCACCGACTTCAATAGCACCGATGGGTACCATACTTCCGTATTTCTCTTGACATTCGAAATATTTCGTGCCATCAACGCTATTTAGAAAGAGAAAAATAATCGTCCATTCAGAGAAACAGTATACGAATTTTCAAGCTATTTGAATGTTGTTAACGAAAGATACGTAACAACTTGTTTATCTAATATAGATTCTCTATGAATATTACCTGCCATTATGGATGCCTAACGGTTCATCGAATTCGACGCCAATAAAAATACCCGGTTTAAGATGAAATGTGCCTTTATATCTGATTGTTCCAATGCGACGTGGTCCCTTTGCTGTTACCAAACATCGATCGCCAATATTAATCGATTCAGCTTTTTGTTCTTGTTCAAGTTGTTCTTGTTTTTTACGTTCTTCGATGGCTTTCATTTCATCGTCATTGTATTTACCCAAACGGCGTGTTTTCAAATAATCACGGACGGTGTTGCGACGTTCATCGTATTGTTTGTCGGTCAAATCGAATTTTTCCACATTTCCATCGTCGATAAAACTTTGAACATTGTCCACAACATGTAATCGCATATCATTTTCGATTGCAAACGAACCGAGCTCGGCTTCATCATCGTTCAACTGTGCAATCAATTTGTCCCCACTAAATAATAACAGTTGCATTGTACCAGCACTGGCACCTGTTATGACTTCCAATTTTCCCTGTTAAAATTAAATATCGATTCGATTAATTGGAAATTCTGTCATGGCGATTTCATGCAAATCACACATCCAATTCTGGTCAAATCCATTAAAAGACATCGATGAGTCACACATATACACAACGAATTTGATTTAATAATATAAAAAAACAAATTATGATTGAACCAAATGTTCATTGATTTTGAAAAATTACCTTTAACTCGGCAATTTTAATATCTCTTGGGAACTTTTTCTCAAAACTAACAGTGTCATTTTGAGAATTTGATACGTTTATTTGAACAAAATCACCCATTTCGATCCGGCAAATCAAAATTCACTTCTTTCTACGGTTAGAGTTTTGTTGTTAATGTTGCGATGAACTTTTGTTTTACCTGACAAATGTCAACGATCACAATGAAGTTGGATACATACACAATGTTTCATTTAAGATACAATACGAAGAAACGATTTGAAATGTTCGCTAAGTTTTTTTTTTAATGTTTAGTTTTCGAAAATTTGTAAATCATTCAAGCAATTTAGATCTGTATGGTGACAAGATTTTATGTGGAATGCATGGCATACTCTTTATATACACAATAAAAAAAATGCGTTTTTGCTTAATTTCCAGAATAATTTTTGAAATGATAATTCAGACCGTCTCCATCGACACAATTGTATATATTTATGATAAAACACATATGATATATTTATTATGTTGCATTCACGTGGGCTGTTATTTAACAATTTGATTTAAAAGAGAATTCTATATGTGCAAATATTTAATACCATCGCTTCCAAAAATTAATATGAAATCATTCGATTTGCAGGTGAATCATTTCATGTCATAAGCATTTCATAAAATCTTTAACATTTCTGTGGGTTAATATGTCAATAAAATCAACGCTTATGAAAAATAATATGTACACACGCAAATTAAAGTTTAGTTAAGTAATTCATGATTAAGCAAAGAGATGCCAAGTATTTTGTTACCAAAACTGCGTTCAGGTCAAAAGGATTAAATTTTATCGTTAAGATATTGTATTTTCGGTCAGATTGTAAGTAAAGTAATTCAATTTGATGGAAAATTTATGGTGTGTAGTATGAAATATGTCAATTAAAGTGATGCTTCGGGCTGTCTAAGCTTCATCACGGTGTGCACAGAGACCCATCGATGATGTTTAAATGTCATTATCATTTCAATTTTGATGAAATAAGTACCTTGAACACACCAATTGCAAAGACATAAATGCTATGACCTATGCCACTCTTCTGTTTCTACCAGATACACTGTTTATTGGTTGTGAAAGTGATAATGCTTATCTGTTGCAGAAAATATACGGACGGAATCTGTTGCCAGCGTCTTTTGGGGCGATGTAAATTGAATAATCGTGTGAAACCAATGATTATTTAAGCACCGCAAATGGTTACTTAAAGAAATATGACCCAAAGTCATGACCTTTGCAGAAAAATCAGCTAAAAAGCATTAAGATTACTAAAGGAATAGGATTATAATCAACATTTTTTTTGTAATACCGCATATATTCTTTTATAAATTAACTACCGTTTTTCTGCTTTTAATGGAAAAAAACCGTTCAATAACTCCTCTTTCGGCAACAAGAACAATTATTTTTTAGTTTTTTTTTTGTTATGTCATCTGAAAATTGGGATTGTGTGGAAAAAAACATGACTATATTTCAAAATATTTACTTCTTAAAAAACCATCCAAAGAAAAATATTTATTTTTTTTTCGTTGATTTGAAATTAGAAAAGAATAATATCTATGGAATCTATACCACTGGAAAAAGAAATGAAGTGAAAAAAAATATTGGCCCATTACGGGATCGAACCGTAGACCTTCGCGTTATTAGCACGACGCTCTAACCAACTGAGCTAATGGGCCCATGCGAATATGTCAACCGAATTGAGTTTTCTTTAGTTGTAACAAGCACTCATCGCATATTATATCGGCATTGCTCTATTCTATTTTTGTAACTGAATGAATAACTCGATTTATGCAAATTTATATGAGTTGAAAGTGATTTCTTCCACTATTAGGCCTAGTAAAAAAAAAGTTTTCGTAATTTTGAAAAAAAAGTAGAAAATTGGTTATATTGAAAGTTTTGTGTGTGTTGAATGAGGATTAATTTGCATGGTTAATCAATCATTTAAAAATGAATGTTTTATATCAAAAACAATAAAATTGATAAAACAGAGCATCCTAGACTGCTACCATCAAACAAATGATGTATGCCCCAAGGGTTTTACAATATTTTAAAACGAATCGCAAATCAAATGATGTTTACTTTCATGCAAACAAAATGTTCATGAATCGATTCGATTATGACACTTTGCGTAATAATGATTAAGGTGAGCGTAAGATTAACCTGTTGTAAGGTACCGTAAAATGAGACACGCGACTGAATTATCCCATGTGATTATGTGTAATCTCAATGCTATTGCCCTACCATCGAAAAGCAACTATAATCGATATTAACCGATCAAAATTGATGGTAAATATAAAAGGTCTGATGGTTTGCATTGTTAAATCAGTTGCCTCAAAATTGTTTAATAAAGTTGATTGAATTTTTATCGCAAATAAAATGGCAAATCAATTGTTCATGTTGATGACTGTGTTGTCAGTCGTTGCCATTGCGTTGGCACAAACATCACAATTACAAAAATCTGAACCAGAACCACAAGTTATTCGTGAAACAAATAACAACGATGGCTCTGGAAATTATTTATTCACGTACGTCTTTCTTTAATACAGTGATCAAAGAAAATAACAAAGTGAATTGCTGTAGTTTAATTGGCTCGTGTTATTTATTCTAGTTACGAATTGGATAATGGCCAAATCTTTTCTGAAACGGGACAGTTAAAAACGATTGGCGAACAACAAGCAGTAGTCAAAAGTGGTGCGTACTCTTTTGTTGGAGCTGATGGCATAACATATTGGGTCACTTACTATGCAGATGAGACTGGATTTCATCCAACAATTGGTATGTTTATTATTGTTAAGGGAACTACTGATTTGTGATCGTTTGATTCTATAATCTGAACAGGTACTGGACCGGGTGGCATCGAAAAAGGAGCTAATGCAAAAGTTCACTGAAATCTTTACTCTCTAAATAATGTAGATATAGAAACACAATGAATTCCTCGGACAAGTATTCTTTAAAAAAATCTGATTTACTACAAAGTTGTTTCAAGTGATAAATAAAGGTGAACGCAAACTCGAGAATAAAATCAATCAATTATCAACCGAAATATGTGTTTTTCTTGCTAAATTTATATAGTTATAGAGTGAACGGAAGGACGTATACTGTACATGCATCCAAAAAGTGCTACAATTGGCATTAATGAATGGACAAAATGCTTTATTGAGGTACTTTATTTAAATTATCTGCATGGAGTTGAAAAACATTTTCTTCTTCACTTGAGAAGAAGGATCCTTTTCAGCTCTTTCCTCCTCCTTACTGTCCCTCCTCCTCAGAAGAGCGCTCTCTGGATCAAAGTATTTTTACTTATGGTTCTGGGGCAAATTTCAACGAGAACGAAACTTTCGTTACGAAAGCAAACTAAATATTTGACATGAGGTAAGATCTCAATACCGAAGTTCTTAGGAAACAGAAGTAATATTCAGAATTTACTCATTACTTTATGCATGCAACGTAAAATGTTTTTAGACAAAGGATTATTATTATTATTATTATTTATACGCCTGGACACATGTAATCCAGAAAATCGTATTTATTTGCTGTTTTAATTATGCTCTTGAGTATTTTCTACATTTCTCAATTAAAAAAGAAATTAAATCTTACATCGATCTTTATATCGATTTGAGAACTCCAAGTATATTGACATACAATTGGATGATTTCGCTTTTCAAATATGTGTTCGAATAAATTTGAATAACATTTCACATTTTATCGTCTAAACGACGTCAATTTGATCGCACGAAAAATAAGAAATGTTAATATTAAATTCCAAAATTCCAATCGTTATAAAAAATATTTTTGAAGTGTTGTCACTTTCGAACACATTAAATCCACGGTATTAGCACCGCATTTACGACAAATGTTGTTAAATAAGTTTGAATTTAAAAGTATTTCGTCTGGAGATGATTTTTGTTACAAAAAGACATTTTGTTTCATTCTGAGTAAGCAATTTGCGAAGTTGTGTTGAGTTAAACATTGTGAGAAAATTTGTCGTTGAAAAATAAAATAAAATGCGTGTTGTTACTGCCATTTTTGCTGTTGTCTTTGCACTTCATGTAAGTGAAACAGATTAATCAAACGATAATTTTTTTTACAACTCTTCTTCGTTTTAGATACTTGTGGTATTATGTCACGATGGCAATGAAAAACCTGATGCGTTGATGAAAACATTCATAATTGACCCAGCAACGGATCTTTTAGATAAAATTCTAAAACCTCTACAACCGATATTTCTGTCCACATTTGAGTGTTTTTCACTCAATTCGAAGTTGTTTAATCCGATTCCTACAAACACCCAACTATTTTATCTTAAGAATCATATTAATAAGAATGCCGATGAAGATTTCAAGAAGAAATTAATTTCATTGTACCATGTGCTTGAATCTTTTTCAACTACCATATCAAAATTGGAGGCAAGAGCTCAAGAAAATAATCAATGCTGTAAATCATTTCAATCAGTCTACGCCAAATATGTAAATGGACTAAAAGAAAAAACTCCCGGGAAAAATTTCAACACAGTTAGATCATATGAATCTACATTAGTGCGACAATATCTTGAATTGAACAATTTGGGAAAACTTTTACAACCACCAAAAAAAAATCCATATATACCGAGAGAAAAGTTTGCCGATTTAATTGGAAGTTTATCTTTAATTCAAAACTGGAAAAAAACAAAAAACGGACCAAAATCAACTGATGTATTCACCAAACTAAATTCAATCTTGGAAAGTTTTGAAAGCATTAACACCAAAAATATCAACGGTTTCAACGACGAGGCAGAACATATTTTAAGAGATAGGTGTCCATCTGTTCAGAAATTTTTAAAAGAATTAAATGCCTAAGGACATTTTAAAGAATAATAAACGGTCTTTTTTACTGTTTCTTGATATTTTCGAATATTCACACGACACATTAATCGATTGAAAACGATTGAAAACGATTGAAAATGTCGGAAAAGGTAATTAAGTTGAGTTTTTTTTTTATTTTCAAAACAACTTTTTCTCAATTTCCATTGCATATTATGATAGGACAGTATGTGTAATTCTGCCCCAATAGCTGAAGTTCAATTCAATTATTGAATAAATTTATACGACCCATTTTTTTATCTAATAGAAACATTTTATAACTCTTTCAATTTAAAATGTTCACAATAAAATGCAGTTTACAGTTTGTTCTCACTTAAATTTGTTTACGATTGTCATTAAAAATTGGAATATTAATGAATAACATTTTAAAGCGCCCACACTTTGACGGAATCAACAATTAATGACGACTTTTCTCTATCTCGCCACGATCTGAGCCATTGTGATCGATTTCTCCAAAAGTCTTTCATTCCCTTTGATGAGTGATTTTCCCATGGTTTCTTACCATTTTGATTCCATACATCTGGGAAATAACCATTTGTACCGCCAACAGCCAAATTAATGAGAAAATGGAACTGAAAAATATAGTCAATTTTTTGTATTAAGTTTGTGTCTTTGCATCGACATACATTTTGAATACTTTTGGGTAGCGATTATTTTTCACTCAGAAAATCACATACTTCTTCATCAAATGGTGCCATTTTTGTACCAGATGCCCAAATATTATCACCGCTAAATCCACCACGTTTCCAAAAACCTTCACCAACATCAGCAAAACCGAGTTCAGTACCATCAATAAAGAATTTTATTCCATTTTCATTCCAATGGAATTCATATTTATGGAAATCATTATTGTATCCAGATGCATTGCTTCGTGAATATGATGCAGTTCTATAGGCGTCTTGATCCCAGCGTGGACCAAAGTGCAGCGTTGAGAAAACCGTTTCAACGCCAATTTGATCTTCATTTCCATATTTAACATTGCCACGTGACTCCATCAAATCGATCTCACCTGAACGTGGCCATTCACCAAATTTCCATTGCGTTGGTAGTAGCCAAATAGCTAAATGAATGGATTAAATTAAATGATTATTGTTTAAGAATATGGATTATCATTTAAACCTGGCCACAACCAATCACCCTGCGGTGTTTTTGCAATAACTTCTACGCGACCGTATTTGAATGAAAATGACTTTGCCGTAGTTAAACGTGCACTTCGAACTGGATTTATAATGATATCTCCACCAGCGCGACGCTCACAATGTTCTTTATTCCGAACCCGAAAAATCAACGAAAAAAAAAAACAATATTTAACAAAGTTCCACAAAATTCAACGAATATTATTCGAACCTTTATTTGGATCGGTGCAATCGTCTAAACGCACGTAGCCATTTTCAACGGCATCGTAACCAATTTTATTTGCAGTTAATGTTGGTTTTATATGCAGTTTTCCACCATTTGCAAAGCTATTTTCGTCGTCTGACACATACCTTTGGTTGACAGATATTCGGAGGTTGTCGCCCGTTTGATACGAAATTTGAATTTTTATATGAAAATTATAAGAGAATTCGTGTTAGGTCAGTTATATTTAATCGATTGTTTCTCATTTAGTGAATTGTACCAAAAAGATAAATTGATAAACAATGCAAGTAAAGAACTTTTTCTTTGTACATAGCTTCACCAAGAGATTTTTTAAAAATGCTTGAAAACAATTATTATTGTATTTTTCCCACTGAATGTTTTGATTTGGCATCAAAACACAACACAATTGTTGACGTTTCACATACAAATTTTTTATATAAAAAATAATTATTATTCCTTGATTGTAGTTTGTGATCGAATATTTAAGGCATTCGAAAAATGAGGAATGTCGTTTTTCCACTTTACACATACCAACATACCATTGAAATTCGCCATTCTGTTTAAAACATAAAAATTAAATTAAAATACCAAAAGTTTTTGTAGATTATCTTTATCAGTAATATCTACTTTATATTATGATATGGAGATATTTTCAGCCAGCTGAATCAGCTCAGGCTACTATCGTCAGGACAAGACTGAAATGAAATGAAAACAATGGAAGTGATTGTTTGTAAGAATGGAAGTGTTTTTATAACTATAACAACCACTTCTATTGTTGTCGCTACTTTTCAGCGCCTGACATCGATTGCCTGAACTGATTCATCTAGCTAAAAATATCTTAATATAATGTCTGATCATTATTTTTTTTTAACTTACACCACCGCCCCAGATAGATACTTCTGGTTGCCACTTGTTTTTGTCCAAACTATCGAACGTTTCTTCAAAAATTAAATTGCCCGCACACATTTTGGTGGGTGCAGCAAAACCACTTGACGTTGTGATTGTTGGCTTGCAATCTTCAGCAATAGAAATTGCTGAGATGCATAACAGCATAAAAATTGAAAGCATTTCCTTCTGAGAATATTCACGTTTCACGGTTTAGATCGAACTGACAAACTTGTAACTAAACCCAGTTAAATACTATTCAATACGAGCATAATGAAAATACATTTAAAGAAACAAGTTGTTCACTCTTACGACTCGAATTAATATTTACATTGAACTTTATTTGCAAATATGACTATATGTATATTACGTCATCAAAGAATCTTTGAAGAGTAGAGAGAGAAAGAAAGAAAAGAGCAAAATTGTTTCAATTCACAACAAGTTTAAATGCAAATAGAAAAGAACAGCAGCATCAGAGATGATTCGAGGTCGCAACACTGAATTGAAAACGAGTTTTAAAAATACAAATATATTAAATGTATTGTGCAAGATTTGTGATTAACTTATCGTTTGCTTCTTTTATATACAGATATCGAACAATATATGGTCACGAATTTAACGGCTCTTTTTTCGTAAATAACAATCATTACGGTTGTTTTATTTTTGTTGACATTACACACTGGTCTGAATATAAAGCAATTATTCATCAAATTAATTGATTAAGTAAATTCTATTCGATAGCTGATGTGGTATATAACTTGTTCAACGCGGATTTTAACGCGAGGAAATGTGTGAACATTTTTTTTTTGAAGATATGTATTTTCATTTTCAGATTCTAGATTTTGAACTTTTTTTTTGCAAATGTTCATCGAATAAGTATAATAAAGCAATGATAATTCGAATTCTCGCCATCAAATTACCACACAAACTGAAGTTGATTCGCAACGTTGAAAGGTTAATTAATTTGGTGCTTCCAACGCATTGTCATAATAATTACGTACGATGTGCATATTGATTCCCAAAACAGTTGCTGTAGAAAAAATATGTTTTGGTTAATTGTTAGTAATTTAAGGAAATCAGTGATTGACGTTATTCTTTATACACACGCTTAACAACTGAATTATAAATACCTGTGAAACAGCCAATTAAGAATGTATTATGTAATTTCTCATCCTTCAATTGTTGTTACTACTCTGATTTTTATCAGCATGCGACGAGTACTACTACTTTTATACTTAAAAAATTTATCTGGATATTGGTTTCGTAGCCCTTTACATCACATTATACATTACATCATCATATATAAGTCATACCAAACTTAAACCATCTTACCGCGATAGAAGTCGTCGCTAAAAATAAGTTGTTCGCAAACATTTGAACTACATAATTTTCATTCAATAGGTGCGTTTAGCAAATTTTATTAACAAACAACATTTTTTGTTTTAATTTTTTCTACACAACAAAGTTTAAATTAGTTGAAATATGGTACATTTTCACAAAAATTTGAGATATGCGTATTTTTAAGGGTCAGTAACCTTATTGTGTATTAGTATTAATCGTAGAAGCCGTTTATGTTGATCATGTAAATGAATTCGGCTATTTCAGCCTGATAACCACATTGTGACATTTTTTTGCCCGCATAAATGATGTACTTGATGAGATTCGTGAAGTCTTCCTCGATCTGTATTAATTTATCATAATTTGGATGTGAATACACTCCATGGTTATCACATTTCCAATTCTTCGATTGAAGTTTACTGCAAACAAAAGACAAATTTAATCAATCAGCGTTCATTTCCAAAAAACCATAACAACAATTGGTTCTTACTTGCAAAATCGAAGAATAACCACAAAAATATCCTCAATTTTCACATAAAACTCATTGCTACTTCGATTCAGCATGCACAAGAATTTGACACGTTTTAAGTATTTGGTGTGTTTTTTGTACAGATCTTCCATTGATTTTACGGTTCTTAGATCATCTTGAAATTTGTGCCACGAACCTTCAATCGCAACTGATATATTATGATTCTGCAGTGAATTGATAAAACAAAGTAATTTATGGCGTATATGCTGTACATGTCGAAATTGTGACGACAATTGAATCTTTTCAGCCGATTGCTTTCGAATGTCCTTTAATTTCTACAAAAAAAAAAAAGAATATGAATTAGAAACATTGAAACTGTTGCTTCTGAATTAATAGAATCAAACGGAAAACTAACATAAAAACATTCATCAAGCAGCCATGTAATGCGTCTCAATTTGAGAAGATGTTGGAATACTTTATCATAATGATCGATGGCCTCATTGCTTAGCAACAGATTTAGCGGCCACTCTTGTGCAACTGTATAGCTCAGATGAAGTTCGCTAAATACGTTCGGCGAAGCGAGGTCAAATTTATCGGGAATCTTTGGAATGCAAAATGATAAATACTCGGCATTTTTATTCGTGCCACCGCAGCTCGATTGTAGTGCATTCTCCAATATGGCTTGTAATGCGTACGGACTGAGGAGTTCGCTTGGTTTCTGTACAGTTTTCAATTTATTTAGTAATCCATCACAAATATTGCTCGCAAATTCTCCGTCCATCATAAAATAATAGTTGCGGAAACATTCAAAGTGCGACAATATGTCAAGATCATGGAAGAATATTTTTAGAATTTCATTGTTAAGGATGTTAGAATAGATTTGAAGTGGAATGGTGAATGATTGTTCCAGAAAAAAGGCCAAGTTGCCTGAGCTCAGGTGTTGTAGTTCGGTTTTCGATAGCGATTTCGACGATTGATTGATTGGTGATGGTGGTGTTGCTTTGCTGTTTCGGGTTGCACTCAATCGTGATGAAATATCAAAAATGCTACTTGAACCGGACGATGGGCGCAAAATTTCAGAAAATGTTGGTTGACTTTTGTATGGCATATTAAATTCAAATTCACCGTTATTTCTTTCGATGCCGGCCGTATTCAATGCGCTCAACGGAGTCGGTCGATTATCAACATCAGCTGAAAATTGCTCGAAATTTACTTGATTATCTTGTGCAATCGCACAATCTAATTTCAATTGAGTTTTTTCGTCGCTCATTTTACTGGAAGATTTATCAAGATATGGTTCGGTCATCGAACACGCCATTAGTTCATCAGACGTGGTTGACATTGGTGAAACGATGAAATCACTTTGGCATGGTTTTGGCGATAATAAATTTGATCGTCCCAATTGTGCATTGTCCAAATCCAAGCTGAGACTTGCTTTCAATTTATTTCGAATCGATGTTTCATTCGTTGTTCGTGTATCTGTCACATTTATTCCATATTCTTGTGCCAACACTTTTTGTCGATTGATTTGCAAATCTGACATCGGTTTATTTGCATTTAGTTCATCAAGCTGTGCGAAGGTGTGCTTGTGTCCTTGCGCTAATTTTTTAATTCGATTGAAATCATCATTGCCACTCGTGCCACGAGTCTCGGCCGCTATATTTACAACAGCTTCTGTAATGCCAAATTCGGATGCTAACACTTTATTACGATTTTTCTGTAGTTCGGTCATTACGACCGGTGCTAAAATTGTCACTTGTGCGGCATTTGCATTCGCATCGACCAAGCCAAATTCTTGTTGCAACATTTTCAATTTATTCTTTTGAGCATCTGTCAATGGCGCGTTCGCCATATTCACCCTTTGTGTGACTTCATCGCTTGCCGCCAAGTCGATGTTTGAATTCAGAACATTTGCTCGATTTCTTGCTCGATCTATTGCCAATGTATCAACCACATTTGAATTGATCAAGTCAGATGTACTTCGGGGTAAAGTGACTCGTATCATATCTGGTGTACGAATCATTTCAGGTGTTTGCATAATCTCCGGCGATTGAAATGCTTTACTTGATGTGCTTGATGTCATGCTCTTGTCGGCATCAAAATAAACGGATTCTGCATCGGAATCTTCACTTTCCATTGCCTCTGTGTCGAAGTTTACCAACGTATTCTCCGTATCATCCGGATGAAGGTCATCAGGTTTGGACGATATTTTCAATTTCAGAGACTCGATTTCGGTGTCGGTTCGTTTCTGTTGTGCGTCGATAATTTTAGCGAGTTCAGTATAGTATTCGATGTTTTTCCTGCGTTGTTCATTCTCTCGTTCTAATAGTTCCAATTCGGCAAATTCACCCTGACGCAAATATTCACGATCGGCTTCCACTTCTGCACGCCGCTTTCGTAACTTTCGTTCACGAATTTCTTCGATTTGTTGCATCAATTCTAGGCGATCTTTTTCACATTTTTCATGCTTTTTGATTGCTTCCGCTTTTTTATCCTCTTTCCATTGCTCTACAATTAATTTTGATCGGTTGGCCATCAATTGTACTAATTTATGACGCTTCTCCCGATCACGCTTCAATAAATCTTCAAGTTTGAATGGCCGACCGCAAACCGATTGAGCCATTAATTCATATCTTTGGCATTCCGCTTCCACGGCACGAATTTGAGCGAATGACAAACAAACTGTGATTTGGGGTGGTGTTATTGATAGCAATGGATGCTGAAAATAAAGAAAGAGTTCGAAATACACATCAATTGACACAATTCAAAATAAAAATTGAAATGAAATCATACTCACCATTGGATTATAAATTTTTAAGAGATTTGAGTATTTGCCGCATGACAGTATTGAGTGTTCCCATCCCAGTAGGAAACCTGGCACTGAAGTTTGCTTGATCACAAAAGCTTTGTCAAAGAATGGCTTCGTTTTTGGTAGATAGTAGTTTACGAACTCAATGAAGAGCTCTTGGCCCGAATTTTCGACGCTTCCATGATAAATCCAATTGGAGAAACGTCTGCAATGAAAGTAACCACATACATTTATAAACCGAGGGAGATGACATATAGTGTACACGAGCTCATAGTTTCGGAAATTTAAAATAGTTTATCCGGGAAATGAGCGCCACAGCAATTTTCAAATATACTTTCAAATTGGCGGTGGCAGAATGTACGCAAGAAACACAAATACATACCTAAAATAAACATCACAGCATTGAGATAAAATGAACACCAGCAAAGCGTATACATCCTGTTGTGTCACGTCGTTGATTTGTGTATACAAGTATCCGAGAAAATCCGAACCATACGATATTTCTCGACCAACATCTATTGTGTTAACAAAAATTTTCTATTTTAATAGTCTTTTTCTAAAAATTAATGTTAAAAATTTATTGATTATTAATTAATTGATAACCTACCACTTGGATGGACGGCCAGCAATTTGGCCAAAATTCTAACTTGTTTAATCAGTGGCGATACTCGAACTAATAGCTCACAAATTGTTTCTTCTTTCTCAAAAATGACAGCACTTCTCAATGTTTCCAAATATCTATCCAAACTTGAACACAGAGCCTGTTTCAATGAAGATTAAACTTAATATAATTCATTTGAATAAATCCACACAATTGGCTCAAAATGGGTAAACAAACGAACCTTGAATACAAATCCATTGTATTTCAGTTGAAAATTATTCGTACCAATTAGTGATTTTAGCCTTTTATAGCATGCACCACATTCGATGAAATCCAATACAAAATGTGCAATTGTTTCGGGCATTATATTTTCGATGGTTAAATTTTCAAGTAAGCTAAATGTCATGGTGTTTGCATCGTATACAAATGATTCGGATTCAATGCCGATCAACAGCAATTTGATATGTTCATTAAATCGTTTGCTATCAATGATGCTCACGCGAAAGTGTTGTTTTTGTTTGGCCGCTGTTAATGCCATCAAATTCAACGATGCGTCTGGTAATTCGGTGCAAAATTTCTTTTCGCATAATGATGCAATGAGCACTGGATCGGTGTCTTTGTTCAATGGTATTCGTAAACCTTGATGTTCCCATCGATTTGCTTCGTAGTAAATATTGCTCGGACGAATTCGACTTCTTACTTTTTCCAATACTTCCTCAACCAAATTCGGTTGAATTTGGGCAATCGAATGTTTTATTGTTTCGTTCATTATTGCAGGCAATTGAAATTGTTTTGTCCTTCGGTTCAATTTTCTCATTGCGTTACAGTATGGATTTTTCTGGAGTTCAACACTCGGTTGCCAATTTAATTTGAAGTACTTCGGTTGCCTCGCTGGAATCGATGATAGTTGATCGATTGCAAGTGGAAAATACGACTCAATTGTCAACAATGTATCGATTTTGCTTTCATTTTTTAGCAATGTAAGAAACCACAGAATCGAATAACCATCATTTTGTTCATGGCAAAAATAGTCGTTGCCATCGACAAATCGAACACATTCTTGGAACAAATCATGTTTTTCCAAAATCTTCTTCTCTAGCCGATCATTGATTAAACCGTAGGGTCCGAAATTTGGTCGCATCTCACCAACAAAAATACTGTACTCAAATTGACTGTATTTCAGCTCACGCACTGGATCAATGGCATCCGAAAAACCTTCATCTATTGATATCGACCGATTTGCAGATATTGATTTTACATTTGATTTTTTCAATAAAATTTCGAATGATTTTTTTCGACATTTTTTCAATAGGTCCTCGGAGATGATTTCATACTTTTGTGGACCAGATGGCTGGCAAAAACTATGCGCAATTACATCTTTCGATGCATTCACATCTTTGTAAATACTTTTACACAATTCATCCAACAAAAACTGAATGCTCATTTGATGTGACAACTTTTCACCGATTTTCAATTGATCCATTTTCGTTAATCATTTAAAATAAATCACATTTGATTAAGTTTAGCTTGAAATTCGTTTTAAATCATTGAAAATTCGTTTAAACTTGTGCAACTAAACTACTTGTGTACACACCAAAAGTTTGACAGTTCATCGATGCTATTTTCTTCATTGTTTGACAATTGACAGTGTCATGGTCACCAGTAGAGAAAGAGAGAGAGAGAAATGGCTGCGTTCTGAGCACATTGTTTATATTCGGTGCGGAGCGATTCAAAGTGTAGAAAAAATAAACGGACTTTTTGACGGAATGACAATAAAATTAGAGGGAAAGTTCGTAATATAAATTAAAAAATACACATATGATTTTGTTTATTTAAACCATTTTTCGTATTTTATTTAGGAACATAACCTTGAGACAAAATTAAAATGACAAAAACCTTAAAAAATTGCTTAAAAAATGCTGTTAAAATAAATACTGTATGAAATGAGTTTTGATATCAAGTGTAAAAAAGTTTAGAAAAACGCCCATTGTGGCCAAAAATGAATCAAAATAGTAATCATGACAAAATGATATCCAAAACCTTATTATGTTACACTTATTTGCGGTCTTTTTTTACGAATCAATTTGATTTTTGGTGAGATGTTTCGCATCACATCGTGATCACGTCTATTCAATGCGTTCGAAAAAATGTTGACGTGCCATATTATATGCATCCAATTGGCCGCGATGCCATTCTTCGCTGTGTTGAATCGAATCAGCACTTGTCAATTGTCTCACCACCATGGCGCAAAACGATTCGGCGTGTCCGTTTCCCATTGCATTATCCAAAAATCGTTGAAAATTTCCACTGTTTTCTTTATCCGATTGCATATCACTCGAATTGGGCTCTGATTCTGTGCTGGTTGTCACTTCGTCCGATTGCAAAAATTCTTCACTTTGGGTGACGTCATTTTCATCATTTTGATTTTGTTTATAATGTTGCTTAAACAACAATTCAGTCAATTGTTTCAATCCGCCGATGACATTTCGTTCCGTCATTGACAACTTGACCGGAGACTTGGCTGAAAATGTATTATATATCGAAAAAAATTGATTATTAATCGTTTAATGAAAAATTCAATGCTCAAATAATATACAAAATTGAAAATTCGATTACAAGTCACGTTGTTGTCGAATTCTTCTATAAAATTATCACGGGTATTTTCCACTGAATTCAAAGGTAGCTCGCTCATTTTTGTTTATGTAATAATTGAACTGACGGAAGAAGCTATACTTTAAAAACTTGATTTTCGGCCAAGTTTTAAAATTCAATTTTTAAAAACGTCTAAAATTCACTTTTAACTATTCAGTCAACAGTTTGTAAACATTTAAAAAAATAAAATGAAAAATTCGAAATGAAGAAATGTCGAAATTGATTGTTTACGTCCGTGCATATGTGTGTCTGGATTTTGAATGAAATAGAATGCCACATACCATCAATTGTGAAAGAGTTGAACTATTTTGGCGCGAATTAAATCACCAAAACGGTTTCATTGTGTGCGTGTACATGTATTACATAGAGCTAATACGTTGTGAACGCACTCCTGATCGTGTACAAACCATATGTCAATGCACCTATCAAGTTGTAAAATAAAAGAACCGTTTATTCTTCTTTTTTGAATCAATTTTCCATCACCACAAATTCCAATGATTTTTAATCATGTTTTTGTTTTTATTTTATTTGTTTTACATTTAAAAAAAGATTCATGTATAAAATTCAATATAATAAATCAAATAAAAATTACAGTAAAAGAAAAGCGCGCGAATGTGATATATGGTCAAAATATACACAAAACGTGAATTTAGAATTCAAATCTCGTTATACACATGCAATAAAAAAAAGCAATAACAAAAATGATAAATGAACAGTAAAAACGTGCTTAGATTCTTAAATATTTGACATTTTTCAAATGTCTACAATTACATTGTTTTCGATTAAAATAGACAGTAGAGATGGATGTATTAAAATAGACGTTCTTTTTAGAAGGAACAAAAGGTTCGATTTAATTTGTGCTTGTTCTACTCGACTGTCACGGATTTGGCGAGATTACGGGGACAGTCAACGTTGCAGCCACGTAACACTGCAATGTGATAGGCCAACAATTGCATTGGAATGACGGTTAAAATACCCTGCATGAATTGAAAAACAAAAGAGAATCCATGAATTTTCCATATTTGAGTCACTTTTCTGATTTCCTCATCATTCATCCTTACCTGAAGACAGTCAACTGTTTGTGGTATCTCAAGAGTTTTGTCTGCATGACTTATAGTCTCTGAATCGCCTTCTTCGCAAATCAAAATTGGATTACAATTACGAGCTTTGACCTGAAGTAATGCGTTCATGCATTTCTTGTAAACTGGATCGCGAAGTACAATCATAAGTACTGGCATTTGTTCATCGACTAATGCCAGTGGTCCATGTTTTAATTCTCCAGCCATAATACCTTCACTGTGCATATATGTCAATTCTTTGACTTTCTGTAATTTTCAAAAAAGAAAAATGAATTCATTGTCTTTTTCGAAAGTGTTCACTCAAGTTCATACTCACCAATGCACCTTCCAAGCATGTGGCAAAATTGAAACCCCGGCCCATAATCAAGAGCGATTTGTATGTATGAAGCTCTTTGGCCAATTCATAAACTTTTGAATCCAATTCTAATACTTTGCGAATTTGATTTTCTAATTGAGCGAGGCCGCGAATAATTTCCAAGCGTCGTTGTTGCAATGAAATTCGATCTTCGCTCATAACCAAACCGAACATGACTAACGAAATGAATTGTGATGTATATGCTTTTGTCGATGCGACACCAATCTCTGGGCCAGCATTAATGTGAACACCGCAATGTGATTCACGGCAAATCGAACTGCCAACCGTATTTGTAACACCAACAATCAATGCACCGCGACCTTTGCAATAACGCAATGCCATCAGTGTGTCGGCCGTTTCACCCGATTGTGAAATAAAGAAGCAAACATCATCACGGAAAATTGGTGTGCCACGATCCAAGAAATCGGAGGCCAATTCAACCATGACTGGCAATTCGGTGAGCTCTTCAAGTAACTGACGTGTGGCCACCGCACTGTGATATGATGTTCCACAGGCGATCAACATCAAACGACGACAACGTTTGATTTCTGGAATGTAGTCTTTGATGCCACCCAAAACAACTTTCTCTTGTTTGAAAATGACACGACCACGCATCGTATTGATCACAGACTCTGGCTGCTCGAAAATCTCCTTTTGCATGAAATATTCATAGTTTCCTTTCATTATTTGTTGAATTTCCATTTTCAATGTGGTTATTTCACGTGCATGTGGATCATCGTGCGTTTTACGCAAACGATGAATACTCAATAGACCATCTTTAACAGCTGCAACATCATCATCCTAAAAATAAAACACCGGCATTTCATTATTTTAAGTTGCAACTGTTAAATAAAATCACCCTTACCTCCAAGTAGATAACTCGGTTTGTGTGCTCAATAACGGCTGATGCATCGGATGCAAAGAAATACTCAACTTCCTTGTCGTCGACTGGCATAAATTCAGATGTGCTATCAGTGCGTGGCAAAATCGGAATGTCGGGAATACTATTGTTCCGCGGACGATGTTCTACATGTGAGGAATTCAAAGTGAACATTGCAAAAAAAAAAAAAAACACCATACAAATTAGAACAATTGTCGAATATTTCTTTATCTAGATAAAATGTTATGTATTGTTTCTTCAGATAAATAAAATGGTCAAAGAAAAAAATTGTCAGGCTACCAAATTAGGCAATAAAAGTGTCCATTAGTTCCATATGCCAAAGTGTACTTTTAAAGTAAAAATAATGAAAAATCAATGGTAGAAAACATACATGTACTTTTGAAAATGATTTAAAAATGAAAAAAATTTCATCAATTTCGGCCAAAAATGTCCATTACAAAAGGTACCAGAAATATTACGTAAAAAAAGCTTATAATTAAAAAAAAATCGATTGCACCAGAAACCCAAGTGTACACAATGAAATATACACAATCACTGCGCAATTTCAAAATTTGTTTTCATTAAATTCGGTGCAACAAAATTATAAATACGAAGAACCACACCATAAAAAAGCAACGTGAAAATTAAATTATTTTTTGTTGATATGATAAATGATATATGGAGAGCTTCAATAAGTAGAAACCATTCACCACACTTGAATTGTTTCGAAAATATGTTGAAAAAAGAATTATGATTGCGATTGAGAAAACAAAATAAAATGAAAGAACATTTATAAATAAAATCGTACCTTGGTGGTTGCTAGCGATATTATCATCTGATAAATCAGTTTGATGTATGTTTGTGTGTGTTTCGATTAAATGTGTAACACAGAAAAAAAAAAAAATTAAAAAATTTGTATTAAAATGGTAAATGATATCATTTTCACATTTTGTGAAATTTTCATTCTTTTCATTGAATTAACGAGAGAAAATAGCATGAATATTATTAACATCACACAAAAAAGCCACAAAAATAAACATAAAAATAACATTCAAGAAGATGTGAAAAACGTGTAATTGAAACAATCATTGCCAAAGGCTGGTTGAAAATTGTAAATTTTGTCTAATTGTCCGGCTCGGAGTCTTTGTCTCTTCCTAAACTGGTCGATCGTCAATGTTCAAGTGATCCGTTTGTCAAACTAGATTTTTTTTTTTTCCTGTTAAAAGTTCACATAGTCAAATGCATCTAATTTTTTACCTTTACCGTACAAAATGGGAATGTGATCGGTAGCCAAACGTGTCTTTGTTTTAATTCCAACCAAAAGTGGCGATCCACGTCGCGTTGTTACACATTCACCGGGAAAATGTTTTGACTTGAATGCCAAAGCGAATGCACCTTCCTGTTAACAAACAATAACACAGAGTGAAAAAAAAAACAATAAATAACGATTATTATTATTTTTTTTGTTAATTTAACCATGTCAATGTGATTTCTTTTTTGCATAAATACCAAATCGATTTCACGATTATAAAAAGCAAACGAAATTAGAATATCAAAGAAAGAAAGGAAAGAAAAAACTCGAAATTAAAATTGATGAAGGTCAACCAGGTTTGGTTGCCATTTGTAATCGCATACAAAATGCACTCACCAGCTGTTGAATAACTTGTTCGACCAACTCACGGAACGAATAGTTTGGATGTTCACGATACAAATGGTAGATGAGCTTTGCGATAATTTCCGTGTCTGTGTCTGATTCAAATGTGTGACCTTTTGATTCCAAATAGTTTTTTACATCTTTGTAATTGGTGATAATGCCATTGTGAACAACAACAAATGAATGATCGGCGTCTGATCGTTGTGGATGCGAATTCACTTCACTCGGTACACCGTGCGTTGCCCATCTTGTGTGCGCAATACCAACATGAGTATATAATTCAAAATCGGCTTTTGTTTTACCCTCTTCACATGCTACATCACAATAAAAAAAAAACGGGTAATTTAAAAATAAGCATTCAATGAATAATTGAATTTCAGCTTTTGATGGTATACCTTGTTTGATTGCTTCTTCGAGTACAAACACTTTTCCAGATCGTTTAAATAATACCATATTTTCGCCATCGTTTGAATCAATAGCAACACCGGCCGAATCGTAACCACGATACTCCAAACGTTTCAAACCGGTTACCAATAAATCCAAAATCTCTTTCCGAGTTTTCGGTGTCAAGTAATTCAAATATGCAAATATTCCTGAATAAAATGAAAATGAAAACAACATCATTTGTTATTCACACTTTTTTTTTCTAAATTTGTTATCATAGAGGAATTATTATGCAAACTTTTTGACATAATCAATTTTGACCGACTGAGTGCGGTGATTACTGTTTATCGCCAAAAAAACCTGAATAGCTTTTGTAAAGGACACATATTAAGAATCGTTTCTTCAGAAATGTAATAAATGATGAAATTTTTTTTTTTTTCCTGGAACTTTTATCGCTGTCGCATACTAATCGGGGTTAAATGTCATTATAGCATTGGTTGATCAAATGAAATCATTAATTTTACATATTATTGCAGATGAAAAACCTTTTTTCAAGCTCAAAATTGCCCACGCAAACTTTCTTCTCGTGATTTATGTTCGTTTCAATGAGTTGAATTCATTTGACTATTGTCAAGGGGACTTGCAGTGAAGCAAAGAAATTGTATTTCATTTATTACAAGTTCAACAGCATATTTGTTGATTTGGTCCTAGTTTTATAAAATTCAAATGTCATATACCGGAATCATTTATGTAAAAGTCGAAACGTAACGATACGCCAACCATTAATATGCCAGTTGAAATGGAAAACGAATTCAATACGATGGTGACGGGATTAAAATCAGCGACGGCATGAATTGAAGCTGAAAGTAAAATGTGCACGAGACAACAATTGATATAGCCATTGTCGGAGTAATAATAATCCCGTTATTAAATGTCGATCGGCTGACACAAAAGACTCTACTAGATCATATAGCCAGCAGTTATTATGAGTTGTGAACGCCTCTCACCACACACATCATACGCTCGTCGTCTATTATTACAAATGATTCCAATGAAAACAAGCAAAAATGCTTATAAAATCAGAGTATTTGTGTTTATGGTGCCGACGTCACAGTCATCGAAACTAATTGGAAATGTTTCGATAGCTATATGCGCATACACACACGCTCGACTTTATTTTTTTCTTCTCTCCGTGAATATTTTTGAATCTTTAATTTATTTAAGAAAGTGAAAGTTGTTTTTGGTTTCAATTTTTTTTTGCATCCATTGACTTCGATGTGATTCAAGTATCGCAGGAAACAAATAGTGTCGCCGATATTCTTTAGCCAACTATAAATTGATCAGTTTCGTACTTTTTGATCGAGATTTTTGACATTTTTTAATACTTCATTTAGCATATAATTAGAAATTATCGTGAAGACATGTCTCTATGCGGAAATAAGTTGCTTTGAATAAACATAGTTGAAAAACAACTAAGCTCAGTGTCGTGTTTTCAGACGATTTAATTCTAATTAAACACATTTAAATAACTTTTTTTTTATCAAGCATCATCCAAACATGTGTATTTTGTTTATCAGTTCTGTTTTCAGGGAATTTGTTGATTTGGTCGCTATTTTGGTCGTTTGGAATATGTGAATTTGATTTTATCACTGCCACACGCTTAAAATATGATAAGAATTTGGAATAATGATTCATTATAAACTTACCACACATTTTTGATGAAGTATATACTCTGTTTGTTTTTTTTTTTTTTTAAATAAAATCACTGCTTCAATAGCCAATTGTTGTCTGGAAGAGAAACAATGAAAAATACTCGAAATTAATTGAATTGAAATCCACACACGGTTCTAAATTCACATATATCAACAATATTTTAATTTTTTAGTCCAAATTTCATTTATTTATTCACTTTGCGTACTCAATCACACAAATTTTTTATACTATAGCATAAGCTGCATCATTTTGATGGCGCCGTATGTATGCACGTTACAAATAAATATATGTATGTACTAGGTTTTGCCACGTTATAATCAACGAGAATACGCGGTCAATGTAAGCAATGTTTGCTTATTGGAGCTTAGCTGAAATATTTAATTTTGTTCTGGTTTTTAAAATTATATTAAATTCGAAGTGTTTCTTTTTAAAATATAATTGAGTAACTTCGAATTAAACAATGCCATTATTAGTTTGAAAAAACAAACAAAAAATATTCGACAAATTTGAACTTTATTGGAAATTCAATTCCAACTTCTGAAAATTGATGACTCTCCGAATTAAATTGGCGAGAAATATTTTTACGTAATATTTTTAGGCATAAAATGTGAAAGAAAATCGTTTAAATATTCAACAGGTATTAATTTGCAGGCACAGTGTGAATCGAACTTCGGTTCGAAAGGTAATTTTTGTTACTCGGTTTCTTTCAAATTTAATCAACAAAAACTGTTAAAACAAATGAAGATGGTATTTCTTTCTCAAATATAAAGAAGGAACCATTTAAAAAAAATTGCCAATTTCGTTCACGTATTTTGTTAAGGAAAAAATGTACCGAAAAATGAGCTGGACGTATAACCGTTCACAATCGCTTCACATTCAACACTAAAGTCATGATTTGCCAATTTATCACATTTTATTTAATACTCGTTGCTGGATCGATGAAAGGGAACAACAAAACTAGTTGGTCATATATATAAATGGCTTGTAAAGACACAGAAAACAAGAAAGACACGAATAACTTACAAATACACGCATATATACACACATATATATTTATTTATCACTTGTGTAAACGCGGGTACTACGCCGTCAGCGTTTAATTTTTTTTTTATGCGAAAACAAAAAAAGAAAGAAAAGAAAACAGTAGCTATTTCAATATGAAGCATCACAAAAGAAAACGTTGAAATGGATAGCCAAAAACTTTATGTGACCAGCAGCGTATTCAGTTATCGATTTGTATAAATAGACTAATTGAAAGTATTGTATCGTCTGGGCGTACTGAACTTGATGATTCCATCGATTGCGTATGCAAAGTGCCACAATGACGTCGCTTTGAATTTAATCAACGTATTTAATTGTAACACAATACACTGAGATACGTTAACTGCGCCGCGAACATTGTGATACACAACGACACCATGCAGAAACTATAAATCGATCTGAGTGAATCAGCTGTATGAAATTTGGTACCACATGCATTGTCATACTGATTGATAAAGCCGGCGACAATGATATATACTATTTACACTATTTTCTACAACCGTTTGTATTTTTTTCAAAATACACATCTTATTTACTATTGTTTATTTTAATTCATTGTTTACTAATTGATACTCATAACTTACAAGTAAAAACAGTGTTTTCTTAGCGAATCTATGTATTACCATTTGACGGACATTATTTTATGTTATCAGCCGGTATTGAAGAATGAGAAATAGAAACAAAAAAATCACATTGCATACAAAACACTTTACTGATGTACTGATACGTACTGATATGTTTTGTGCAAACGTGACACATGAAACGTCAAACCAACTCATGACCATTCCATTTCGTGTTGAACATTCGAAACGATGGAATTTGGATAAAAAGCTTGCGGCATGCGAATCAAGAAGTTTTCATCATTCAAATATCTTTGTGCCAGCATTTAGATTTATTTCCAATTTTAAACCGTATAATAAAAATAAAAATAAAAATAATAAAATGAAAATTGTAATTTTTATGTTGTCGCATTCTATCTACCATGTTTTGCGTTTCACCGATATAAAAAGTGTAGCGAATTATGATCAACATGGCAAAAAACCATTTTTCAGTTGCGCTTGTATAAATCCGACAATTCATCTTTCTAGTCCTCTGAACAGAATAACTATAGCGCACTTGTTTCATTCGTATTGCTTGCTGTATTTTCATTCAAAATTTGTCTTCCTTTTCCAATACTTCTGCTGATCCAATTCTTTTTTTGGGCTAAAATGGTCTGAAAATAATACAATTTACATTTAATACAGCCAATTTTAATTCACAAATTCGTCGTCAAAAATAATATCAAATAAAAACCTCTGACTTTTCATCATCTTGGAAAATCAACAGAATCATGGCTCGTACGCGAATCAACAGGTTTGAGGCAGAAGTTTTTATGTTTTAAGTGAAAATGTGCTAAAAAATGAAAAATTACCCATTTTTGGATCTTTTTTTAGTTTTTAGCCATTACCATTGAATGTTTAAATATTTTTGATTTCTTGCGCACATGATTAAAGTTTATGGACTGGCCAACAATTTTGCTGAACATACCAAACACCTATCATAACGAATTGGAATTTTATTATACCTTCAAACAAGTTTGATTTTATGAAAATAGCCGAAGTCACTTGAGGTATAATTGAACAAGTCCACAAATGTATACTTATAGTTATTGTATCGCGCTGAAACGTGGTATAGGAGTGCATGAGGGATGAACCTATTTACCTATAGAAGGAACGATAAAATTCCATCAACGGTTTCCTTCAAAATGCCAATATCTTACTACTTTTTGATCACAATAGTATGTGTGTCTATGGCCGTTGACGTATGCAACTTGAGGCTCAAGTCTTGAGCTTGTCACATTTCATTTAGAAGCGCCGATCGAACAACACTTATTTTGTTAGCATTCATCGAAATTTGATTTCCCGAATTTGTTTTTCCCGATTTTTTTTCCCCGAACGGTACATTTTCCCGAAAATGAAATCACGAATAGTATATTTTCCTGAAAGTCAAATTTCCCGATTTTTTTTCTCGAATTTTTTTCGCGAATAGTGACTTTTTTCGGAATAGCATATTTTTCTGAAAATTTTCCGCAATATCTCGATTAGTATAAAACGCTTTTTCGATGAGCACCTCTTTCTCAAGCTCTCGTTAATTCTTATGTTCCATTTTAAGCATACTCTCTTATTTTTATTGAATTTAATTTTGCTTGGCTGTTGTTTCGGAAAAAATGAGACAGAGTGCTATTATATCACTTTTAGAATTTGCGACGAATAAAATTATTTTTTTGAAAAATTTACTATAGAAAAAATCGAATTGTTCCTGGAACAAAATCGAATTGTTCCCGGAACAAAATCGAATTGTTCCCGGA